AATTCATATTTGTTTCTCCAGGAAAATGAATACAAAGTGCCCATGTCTACTCACAACCTTACTTCAACTTCTTCATCAGTTTAGCAGAAACTTTAGGCTTTACATTCTACAATAACAAAGATGCTAATAATGTTAAGACAACAATGAAGAGAAACTCTGAGTTATCTAATGATGAGGCATATGGATATTTGTTCCCCTTAAAATGTTATCCCTCCTAGCATGTACATTTTTCTTTCTCCACTTATTTGAGAATCTAAGCATGATAAGAAAGCTATACAGGCAAACTCATGTTAGAATAAACCCTATCTTTTTTTCTTAAAGGATCTCTGTTACTAGTCACATGTCATCTTTATTTTCTAGTCCAGTCCTTACATTAGCTCAGCATGTCGTACAATAGCATATGAAGACCAAAACGGTTGCCTTCAATGTCCTTTGTTCCAGCGATCCCCTACCTTTTTGGCTCCATGAGCGGGGGGGGGGATTCCCACGCTTGCAGGGGACGTGTTGTGCTCATGGGGGGTGTTGCACTTGTGGGTGTGGGTGTTGCAAGCACAACACCCCCTGCAAGCGTGATACCCTGCCATGAGCACGGCACCTCCCCTCACGAGCACAGCATGCCCGTGTCCTGGGAAGCCTACAGACCGGCACCAGGACATGGACCATGGGTCGGGGACGCCTGTTTTATTCTGTTGCTACATGTAACTTGCAAGGCCCAGACATTCTGAACCTGTTTTCATTGTGGCTTATGCCATCACCAGGGCAGCTGCCATCACTCTTCAACAATACTAATGAGCTCAGAGCAATGTTCCTTCTAATTTTCCACCAGCCACAACCGGAACCAAATGGGCAACAATACTGGCTACAGGAGATGCATGCCATGTACCTGCACAACTTAGAGGCTCAGAGACACTGATCTGAGCAAACAAAGAATTATTTCATAAGTTTGCATGTAGAACGTTTTTGGCTTTTCCAATTGAACAGTGAATCAGGTGATGGTGAAGACTTCTGTTGGAGACCTGATGCTGATCAGATTACATTAATAATTCTATCTTAAGTGGACTGCTTATCAAACTCCATACACAGTAGCTTCATATGCTGAATACACATCTTGGCTGGTCTTTTATGGATGGATAACGTGTGTCCCTTGTGCTAAGTGTTTTTTGCAGTTTTGTCTTGGCAGATATTTCCATTTGTGTAATGATAGATTATGGAATACAGACTTAAAATAACATTGTATATTATTGTATTTTAATTACACCTTCCTTCTCAGACAAATTATTATGCTTCACACATGATGCGTGAACATAATGAGTTACTGTTATCCAACTAAAAAGTGTTCCCTCCTCCTGCTTTTTAGATGATAATCAAATATGGCTATTATGTACTTTGTGGTTTTGTTGTTTCCTTTCTGTTTTTTGGACTTCCCATGCGTTGCCTAACTGATTGAAAAGCATAGACCTCTCATCATTACTCAGTCACTGATTAGGTGTCACAAATTCAACTTGTTGTATAGTAGTATGATTTATTTGACTCGAAAGATGTGCTTGTAACTGTTCATTAGATTAATAAGGCCCATCAGGGCTGGCTGGATAGCTCAGTGGTTTAAGTTTCTGGCTACGGAACCAGAGGTTCTCCATTCCCCACTGTGCCTCCTGTGAATAGAGGTAGCCTGTGTAGCCATGGGCAGGCTGCACAGTCGCAGGGCACACCCTAAAGGGAATGGTAAACCACTTCTGAGTATTCTCTCCCTGGAAAACCCTGAAAAGGATTGTCATAAAACAGAAATGACTTGACAGCATATGACTATTATTATTATGCCACAATCAATGCAAAGAAATTGGCTTTTAATTATTCTACTAGTTTTCTACAGAGTTATTGTAAAAATGTACATGTATCAACAATAAAAACTAGGCCTTGTTTTATTATTTTATTAATGGAAACATGTTCCTTGAAAATCAGGAACCTCTGTAAGCAAATGGAAACCAATTTCCTATTTTACATATACAGTAAGCACTCGACAAATGGTAACTGGATGGTGGGATTTGTTTTACATGGAGGGAGGGGTGGGGTGAGGACTCACTATCACCAAACAGCCAAACCAAACTCAATCTTGCTATATGTTTTCCCCCTATATCTTATTGAATACATCTGGGCCGGCATGTTTCATGCTGAACTGAACTGGAATTGATTGTGATGATCTGCTCTTGTTTGCAGTACTCATAAGACAGAAGAAGTCTCTGGTATACTCAAAATATTTTGGATTGTTAACGATATTAATGATAAAGAAAATAACATGGTGGATGAATTGTAATTGTTTGGGTAAAAACTGTCTTGTAGACACATTTGTGTTTTGTCTTATCTACTCATCTTGATTCTTTTTTGATGTGGGTAGGATTGTTTCATTTGATTTGTTCCAGTGCAATTACTGGAAACAAACCAAAGAGAGCTTTTTGCTGTCTGTTTGTTTTCCTCTTTGATCTTCTTGTGTCATAAAGTGTTTTAGGAAGACAGATACTTCACAATACTGGGCAATTAAATACCTAGAAAGATGCAGGTAGGAATACTCTGAGGAGCAGGCTGGCACACTCTCTGAACCACAGACCTTGTCTGATCTCCAGCTTTTGCAGTGGATCAGGCCCTCCCTGTAGCAGACCAAATAGCAAGTGAAATGCCCATGCAGTCACCTTCAGACTCATAACTCATTGCAATTTTAAACAAGTTGTAAAGGCTTCTTCTATCATTTAGAGGTGCCCCAGATCACAGCTATTGCTTTTAAATAGCAACAACCTTGCCTGGGAATGTTGCTTGCCATACTGGCTTTTGCTTGACATAATCTACTTTGTATTTGCATGTTACGTGGGACTATAATTACAAAAAAGAAACATCTGCTGCTGAGATTGTCAATGTTTTTCCCTAATATGGTGCTGTGTGCTGTCACTTCGGTCTGAATGAAGGAAGGTAAAGGTTGAGGGTGTGAGGCTTGGAGAGGGCAAGGATCAGTGGTCAGTGTTCTTCCCTCTGGGAAGGAGGGAGGAAATGTTTGCATTCCTTGACAACGACTAACAGACAATCTAAACCAAGCAAACTTATTTTATCTGCCACCTTCTCTTTAGCCTTCAGCTGACCTTTCCATCTGAAACTGATATAATATGCAGAACTGCTTACAAAGGAACCGAGTCTGAATAGCTGCTATAATATCCAGCTTTTTGTAAACTTCCATATGCTAGTTTAAACCAATACGCAAATATCATCACAATCATCATGTGTGGTTTGAGTCTTGTTCTTACAAAAAGATCCTAACCCAAATACTTTACTAAAAAGAAATAAGAGAGGGCTGATCATTTACAAATCAACGCATCTAGTTTCCCTGCTGGACCGGGGAAACTCAAAGGAGGCAGGGTAGACTGGTCACTTACAGCTCACCAAAAATACATATCCTCCACATGACCAAAAAGGATGACAGCTCTTAAAATGGAGAACTATCCTCCCTAAAGGAGGACATATAACCATCCTATCTGGGTAGCACAATAAAATAGTTATAAAAACAGTTTCCTAAATTTCCATCAAAGCCTTCTCTTCTAGGAAACATGCTCTTTGCTGCAGCAGATTGCGTCCCTGCAAATAAGAGCACAGGAATTTACTACCTTTAGGAGAGAGAACAGTTGGGTGAGTTAGTCCCTGTTTCTACAGGAACACCAACAAAGTCTGCTACAAACAGCCATTAAGAACTAAACACTAGTTTGTTTGTTTGTTTGTTTGTTTTGTTCTTACATTCCTGGTAAGCAACCCAGATGGAATTCACTTCATCTAGCTTTTATCATTTAGATGTCTCTTATATTATCTTGGTTGCGCCTTTATCTTTCTTAGAACAATAAGCATTCCAGGGCATGTCACAAACCAAAAACTTTGTGAAGAAGCAAGGGATTCTGTAATTTTCTGCCAAAAAGATATTGCTGCATGGAATGAAATGACGAAAATAGAGTAACAGGGTAAAGTTTCTTTCTCTTCTCTTTCAGAAGATTATTATCTCCATTAATAAGCCTGAATTCCAAAATTGTTATTTGAAAGTTGGCAAAATACATTTGGCAATGGAACTCAGTATATTGTAGATTTGTAAATTCCAAAGATGTAAGGGCAAGCTCTTTTATACTATTATTTTATACATGCTAGTCAAGTGAACAACTGGATTTCTTATTTTCTTACTTTTTCCCCTTTTGATTCTTCTACTTACACTTGAGTCGGGCCTTTTTAGGCAAAGTGTATGACCAGCATTGCTTGAAAGACAGACATTTTATTGTCATGCAATGATAACATGCCCGTCTTGCAACGCGGCCTTAATTTCTTCAATATCCAGCTTAGTTTAGGTTCTATGTTTGGTTCTATCATTTTATTCTTATTTCTCTTTTCTGTTGTTTTTATTAGTCTGTGGTTTAAATTTTGCACACTGTCTGGGATGTTTTCCTTTTAAAGAAACAAAGAAATAGCTGTGGACAGAAATTAAACATTTGACTAAGTGCTTTTGTTGCTGTTTAGTTGTTAAGTCGTGTCCAACTCACCATGACCCCATGGACCAGAGCACGCGAGGCCCTCCTGTCTTCCACTGCCTCCCGGAGTTCAGTCAAATTCATGTTGGTAGCTTCTATGACACTGTCCAACTATCTCGTCCTCTGTCATCTCCTTCTCCTCACACTTTCCCAACATCAGGGAACATTCCCAACATTGGCTGAGTGCTATGTGTAGACAAAACGCCAGTAGCCAATAAGGCTACCTTGTGCTGGATAGCAAAGCTTGCTTGTTGATGGTCTGATAAAGGATGACTGTTGTGAGACTTTACTATCTGAGCTTCACCTTGTTCTGTGCTCAATAAATACACAAGGCACAAAATTAGAGAATTAGTTTTTGCCCCATACAGGCAGTGAGCAAATACTCAAAAGTTGACCAACATGATCAAAAGTTTTGTTCATTTCCTTACGCTTTGCTTAATCTTTATTTTCTTCCAGGAAATCCCTTCCTCGATGCCAAAGAATTAGCAGAATGCTCTCCAATGAATCTTTGCGTCCTCCTGCATACAGTCGTTCAAATTCCCAAGCTTCGGTTGATAGCACTTCCATGGAAGATTTTTGGTATGAGGTACAAAATATCAATGAGAGCACTGAAGACAGGCAAGATGAACAAGCTGTTTTAGAAGTTAAGCTTCCCGATGGTGAGCATAAGCACTTCAGAATCAGATGTATCCTTGCACATGTTTTACTGTAGATATTTCCAATGCTCTTCAGATCTGTTTGTATCAGTGTTTGCTGAAGTGTTTTTAGATCCACACATTTGTTTCAGGTGGAATAAAGCCGTTAGAACTATGCAAATGTTTAATTTCCCCATTAAAATAAGTGAGACTGGCAAACTGAGTAAATCTGTTTAGTCAGTAGCAGGATCCAGAGTTCAGTATGATTTACTATTTTTTAGTAACCACACTTACAACTGCACTTTTAAAGTGAAGAACCTTGGCTGGATTGTTCCCAATTCCTAAATGTATTTCAGTGAGGGATCCTTATTGTACAGGAGGAAGAGGCTATGTGAAAATGCTGTAGAGGAGACCTGGAGGTTAAGTGTCATCTTGCAGTCACAAGAATGAATTGTTAGTCTTCTTGGTGATCTTGTAAATGGTTTCAGAAGATGCATGCAGTTTTATTAGCCTTCAGGGCCAAATTGTCCATACAGCAATCCTGAGATTATGTTGATAGAAATGATGAGTAGGCATTGCTCCTGATCTGGGGGAAAGTTTCTTTCCAGAGGAATACAGCATTTCCCCCCTCTTTGTCTTCCTAGACAAGCATTTCCAGAGTAGTAGCCTTGGAATTGGCTGGGATATTTGTATTCCATTTGTATTTTTAATGGCTTTCATTTGTTTATTTGCTCTCCTTTATTAATTTTATGCCCTGGACAGCATGGAGATTTTTAAAAAGTCTCTCCAGTAGTTTCTCTGTAATACAGCATCAAAAAAATCTTTAGGAGAAAAGGAAAAAAGTCTCTCCAGTAGTTTCTCAGCATCAAAAAAATCTTTAGGAGAAAAGGGTCTGATATGGTCAAAATATACTGCATATGTTGTCAAATACTGAGCAGAAGTGAAGAATCAGAGTGAAAGGAGTATCCTGGAATAGAACAGAACTAGCTGACTAGAACCCTGACCAGGAGTGAGACAAACTGTAACACTTTGTTGGAGGTCCAGCATGCCAGTTCCCTTATACAAACTGGGAACCACATTTTCTGAAGGTGAATTAAGGACTTCATAATTTACTCATGTTCTGTTTCTTCTACTCATATGATTACACTTCTGCTCTTCCACAGAAGGGGAACTGGAAGCTGAATGGTTGCAAGATGTAGGTCTGTCTACCCTAATATCAGGATCAGAAGAAGAAGATGGAGAAGCCTTACTGTCTACCCTGACCCGAACTCAAGCTGCTGCAGTACAGAAGAGATATAACACTTACACCCAAACGTTGAGAAAAAAGAATAAGCACACTGTCCGAGATGTGAGAGATATCTTTGGTATCAATGATACTTCTGTAAGTAGAACATTTAATACTTTGAATATCTTGAACATGTATTTCTTATTATGACCCATACCAATGACCATGTCTTATTCTAAGGCTGTCTTTAACAGATAGGCTTCGTTGAATATCTTGAACATGTATTTCTAAGGCTGTCTTTAACAGATAGGCTTCAAGGAGTCAGTGTGTTTTAGCTATCCTGTTTCTTTTTGCAGTGTCAGTTCCAGAAAGTTGTAATCAGCAGTGTATTGGTAATTTTGGAAATGGAGAGTAGATGGGATTTTTAGATTTTTTAAAATTACAAATCTCATAATTTTCCATTCTGGATTCTATTTGACAGACAGGACACATTAGAAACACCTATATATGGCTCACCTGGAAGAAAGACTTAAGTAGAAAAGCTTTGAGGCCTAGCCAGACCTACCTCCACCTAATTTGCTGTTCAGAAAGAAAACTCCCAGCTAGCAGTGAGGTAAGAAGAGGAAACTCAGGTGGAACTAGGCCTAGCTTCAAAGCCTTTCTTCTAGATGAGCCACATTTAGATCTGTGTCAAGTAAATCTCCCAGAATGGAGATTTACAGTTTTTTTACTCCAAGGATTTTTTTTAAAAAAGTATCCTTAGTGAGAGCTTGTTGTGATATTCCCCATAGGCAGCCAACTCCCACCCTCAAATGCTGGAAGCTGGATCGGTCCATACTCACAAATGAGGCAGAGGCATTCTCTAAGTCAAATGGCTATTGACTGTCTCCTCATGATCAAACAACCTGCAAACACTACAGGGATAGCTTGTAACACTATACTGTTCCTAGAAAATCCTTTTCTTTCTCAACTACTGTTAGGAGTGCACTTACCTTAGAGGGAAGAAGGACCCCTGGGGTGGGAGGTAGATGTCATAATCTCCCCTAGTCAAAAGGCTTGGACTTCAACCTTACAAGCCCTGCCTCCACTATACCACTGGTTTGAAGGACAGGTTTTGGTCTGCCAGCATCTATGGTATGGACAGAGCTGGTCCAAGATGTTTTGCAAAGGGACCTGAATCTTTCTTCCACAGTAGCAATATCACTACTCCTTCTATCTTCAGGTACAGTAAAATACTGTATGTTTATTGTAGATGGTACTTTTTTATCCAGTGACACTAAGCCCAGTTCTGACTGTTTTAATGATTCTGATTTTGTGCACTTTTAAGAAATGAGAAGCACTTACGGGATTGAATCCAGAGTTAGTTATATTAGAATTAATATATTGAAATGAATAGGACATTTTGATTTCAGTGGATCTGTTTGAAGTTTAACTAAGTCTGAATTCAATGATTTCCTTACTAGTGGGAAATGTGTAGTCTTTGTTGGGGTTAGTCTTTTTTGTATCTATTTTTCGAACACTTTTCTTTTTGTAATTTTAATGAGATGCACAGTGCATTTGCTCCATTGTTCATGTTATCAATGAAGGGAGAGATTCAGTACTTGGTACAATAATCTGCCAAAATATTATTTCATTATTGGCTAGTCTTCTCAGATGAAATGTTTTGTACATTTTACTAACATATACACTGCAACAATATAACTGTACATGTTGCAGTGCTTGTTCACTTACTGCTTTTAGTCAAATGCTTAAAAAGAATAATCACCTAGAGCAGTGATCCCTAACCTTGGGTAACCCAGGTGTTCTTGGACTTCAGTCCCCAGAAGTCTTCACCACCAGCTGTGCTGGCCAAGATTTCTGGGAGTTGCAGTCCAAGAATATCTGGATTACCCAAAGTTGGGAACCACTGACCTAGAGGAATGAAATGTCAGGAGCTGCTTTTGACCTAGACATTGACAGCTGGAAATGTTTTAGTCTAACATTGATTTTTACAATTTAAAATAGTAGTAATCTATAAAATAATAAGATTTTTTCATCCAGTTCATTTTTTCCCTTCCTTTGGAAGTTCTTGTGTAAATTGCACAGTAGTCTACACTGAAGACATGTTTAGCATCAGTGATATAAAACATTTTTAAAATTGTGTAGATCGCAGTGTGTTTTTCTTTCCATCTTGTGCAGTGATAGATGATTTTATCCCCAGTTACCATGATGTATTCTTTTAGTGATTTTCACTGCTGTCTCAAGTAACTGAATACTTTAGGACTAAAGAAAGACAGAGCTGTTATATCTGGTTCAGTATGATGTTAGTCAGCATTCTCTGGAAAGCAAATTAAGGAAGCTGTAATCTACCTTACCTGACAAAAACATCCAACACCATCATCATGTTATGGCATACAGATATATGCTTTGGAGAAAGCTGACTTCATAATAAAAATTTTTAAATGATGCTTACTCTTATGGTTTTCCTGTATCACATCTTTGACCATTTTTGTGCTTCATAAGATGTCTTTTTCTGTGACCCCATTGACAGCTGTGGCTGATGTAATAGTCAAAACACAGCATACTGGATATGAATTTGTTATACTGTATTTGCTTTTAAATTTTGCTTTGCACCTATTTTCATTAAAATCACAATGCTGTCAAAAAAGAAAATGTTGATAAGTCTTATCACAGTAAACCATGCTGGAGGGGGAGGGGTTGGGGACAAAGCTTAACAATAACCTAATATTGGCATTTTGCATCAGAGAGGCAAGTTGTTCTTATGTTCTATTGTTGACCTCTTCCCCCAGCCTACATTTGAGGCCATTCCAGTGTCACCTGTTACAACCAATGGTATCCAGCTTCCTGTGCAGAAGCCAGGTTGGAAAATGGTTAGCTGTAAGTACTATTGTAGGGCGAAGATTCTTAAAGAAGATGAACATGCACAGTGATATCCCTTATCGTTATTGATGGTGCATTACCAGTATTGGGCTCAGAGCACGTCTGGCTTTACATTCATCAAGGACAAGGCATTCAAAGCCATATCAAGTGTACTGCCATTTTTTTACTGTCATATAGTCAGTGTTTGGATCAAGAAACACATGAATAACTGAAATGGAATAAATCATATATTATTCATCCAATGTGAATCCCAAAATGGCCTCCATCTGCTGGTGGCCCTTGCTGTGGGTAAATGCAAAATAGTGGCTGCCGTTTTCTGCTTTCTCAGTGGCTTGATATTCTGTCTTCATTATTACTATTATTTTTCAAGGAATAAAGAATATTGGACTCACATAAATTCTTCCTTGATTTCAGCTGCTAATCATCTAGAATGTGATAAGGACAGCCCACTGGTGAAAGAAGAGCTATCATTTGCAGTTTCATTCTCAGAATCAATAGTCACAATTCCAAAGCACAGAGAATGGCAAAAAAACCAAAGGTTTAAAAAGGATGAATCTGCTTTGCCTGTAAGTTTAAGGTCCTCATATCTATCCACTGATTGTTTTATCCTGCAACTAATGTCTGGTTTTTAGCACATTGGCTAATTTGAAATGTATTGCTATTTATATTTGGGATGTGTGGGAAAACAAAACTTAGAAAAGCTACTTATTGGATTACAACTTCTAGAATCTTCCAAATGGCATGGCCACTGTCTATGAGGCTAGAGAATTCTGTAGCTAAAGTAATTTTTGCAACAATCCATTGCACTAGTGCATGTGTATTTTCTAGTGTCTCCTTGCACAAACAGAAGACCTGCTATTTCCAGTGAACTGGTCTCTGCTTGCCTAACAACAAACTGAAGATCACACAGAACTGTGGAAGTAAAAAAAAATGCTGTGCATAGCAGAGCAACAGGATTCTGCCCAAAAGATGTGAACTGGGTATTAGATGAGCAGGCAAATAGTAACATGCAGGAGTAACCAGTGTTACCCAGTTCGCAATCCACCTTGTGTTGTATCACCCACAGTATTTTTTGGAATAAAGGAAGTATTGCCTCTAACAGAAGGATGGCTCTGTGTCAAATTACAAAAAGCAAGAGAAAAATCTGTTTTTCCCAGCTTTAAGTACATTTTGGCACCAATTTTAAAATGGTATTGCCAAAAAAATTATGTGTAATAGATTTTGTTTCTTAAACAAAATCTGTAAGATAAATACCATAATGCATCATTCTACCAAACTACAGTATTACTCCATGGTAACCACCACTTTCAGAACAGTTTCATTTATGAAAATAATATATTAGTTTAGTTTTTAGGGGGGTTGTGCCCTTTAAGATTTTGGTAATTTATTGTACAATAATTGAATTAAGTATGGGAGCACATAAACTAATACTCATACTACATACTGAATTATTTTGAAGGTACAGGTAAATATGTGAAGACTGGCACTGACTATTCATATACAGTCGTGCCCCGCTTAACAATTACCCCGTATAACAATGAATCCGCTTCACGATGATGTTTTATGATGTTTTAATGGGTTTTTTTCGCTTTGCGGCGATCAGTTCCCTGCTTCGGGAACCGATTCTTTGCATTACGACAATCAAAACAGCTGATCGTTGGGTTTTCAAAATGGCTGCCGGCTGCTCAAAATGGCTCCCCGCTCTTTTTAGGAGGCATTTTTCGCAAGACAGGCAGCTGAAAATGGCCGCTGTATGGAGGATCTTCACTGGACGATTAGGCATTTCACCCATCGGAATGCATTAACCAGTTTTTAATGTGTTTCAATGGGTTTTTAAAATTTCGTTTGATGACGTTTTCGCTCTACAGCGATTTCGCTGGAACGAATTAACGTCGTCAAGCGAGGCACCACTGTACTTTTGTTATCTGTAGGCATTTGCATCTTTATGAATGTCTTTTTATGAATCTATGTCACCAAAATCTGTCTGGATAACTCAGTAAATTACAGTAGGTTTCTGACTGTGCAGTGAGAGGTTGGCAGTTCATTTCCCCACTATGCATCCCAGAAGAACCAGCCTGTATGGCTTTGGGCAAGCTGCATAGTCCCAGAATGCCCCCAGAAGAAGGGAATGGTGAATCACTTTTGAATACAGTACTGTCTGCCTAGAAAACCCTGAAAAAAGGGTTGTTATAAGTCAAAATTGACTGGAGTTGTTATTATATCACCAAAACAATATCCATGCTGAGGTCAAGGAAGGCAATGGAATCTTGCATAAATGTAATTATTTATTTATATCCTACCTTTTTCCCCAATGGAGGGACTCAAGGCAGAATATAACAGCTATGACATGCATATGTATACTATCATACTAAATTAATATATTAATATTAAAATGCTATTAAAACTGAACAATGCTAAAAATGTCACTAGTTTAAAACAGATTAAAACTAATTTAAAGTATAATTTTAAAATGTGATATCCTCTGCTAAGGTTCTTTTCTGAAATGTTATGCAGTAAGTTCTGCACTGGAAAATATTATCTGCTCTCATCTATGAGGTTTATGCAGAAGCCGCATTAGTCTACCCTTTAATCTCCACGAAAAGGCTGTGTGATATTTCTTCTTCATATTTCTCATAATGTCCTAAAGGATGCTGGTTCTCTCATGTCCTTTCTATGTGCCACAGAATGGTGGGCAAGGCAGCCATTTGATCTACTCCATTCGAATCTTTCTATTGGTGGCCCAACACAGAGAATATGTAGTCCAATGGTTGTTCTGGGTTTTTCAGGCTCCAGTGAACTGGTCTCTGCTTGCCTAACAACAAACTGAAGACCACACAGAACTGTGGAAGTAGTTGGTGTAGTTGGCTTGGGAGTGTACAGGTTGCTGTCCTCTGAAGATGCCGGCCACAGAGACTGGCGAAACGTCAGGAAGAACAACCTTCAGAACACAGCCAAAGAGCCCGAAAAACCCAGAACAACCATTAGATCCCAGCCATGAAAGCCCTCACGAAAATATGTAGTCCACTTATCTGTGTATTTACTGAGAAGTAAAAGTGCAAGTCCAACTGGAACTGTGGAGTTAGTGAAGCAGGAGATCCTCAGCCATTTCCCAACCTCAGCCAACTGTACCAGCCAAGATGGGGAGATAGAGGGTAGTTTTGCCTGGTTCTTTAGTCTTATGGATCTGAAAAACGAAACAAAGAAAGCAAACATGACGTAGTCCACTTCTCTGTGTATTTACTGAGAAGTAAAAGTGCAAGTCCAACTGGAACTGTGGAGTTAGTGAAGCAGGAGATCCTCAGCCATTTCCCAACCTCAGCCAACTGTACCAGCCAAGATGGGGAGATAGAGGGTAGTTTTGCCTGGTTCTTTAGTCTTATGGATCTGAAAAACGAAACAAAGAAAGCAAACATGACATATGTTGAGAGTGATAAGCTGGGGCAGTTCTAGCTCTTTTCTGCGTTTGTTTGATTCAAGACAAATTTAAATATCAATGTTTTTAATTAAAAATTCTTTAAAATATATTATAGAACTTTATAATTAGGAAAAGCCGAATGGGACTGACTGAAGTTGGAGATTTGTCTCTTGATGACATGAAGAAAATTCGCTATCTCTCTCTGATTGAACTAACAGCCTTCTACGATGCTTTAGGAATAGAGCTGAAGAGGAACCGAACAGAAAGGATGAAAGGACGAGGTAACTGCATTATGAAGATGTAACAAGGGACTCTGATAATTTTCAGTATTTGGGAATGTTACTCTTTGGGGGTTCTTACTGTTATTTTCCCCCCTTTTCCCTGAAGAAAATGGCCTTTTTGGAGTTCCGCTAACGGTGCTGCTGGAAAATGATCAAAAGAAAGTTCCTGGAATAAAAGTTCCCCTTATCTTTCAGAAAGTGAGTAGAACAAAAACAGCATAGTTACTAAACACCATCTCCTCACTGCTCATATAAATGCACAGAAAACACATTGCATAGAAATCTTTATATATCTTTCAATTTTCAATTTGAATGGAGCTGTCAAGTTTCTATCTATATGATAGAGCAGAGTGATATAACTTTAAGTAGGATGATAATTGGCATCTTTAGAACTCAGTGCTAAATTTGGATTTGCTGACTAGTTGAAAGTTATATAATCTGAATTATTCTCTTTTTCTTTTTCTTATTAAAAATGGTGATAAAATTGTACGGCTGTGAAGTAACTGTGATAGCTACTGGGTAGTTTGTTTAGAATTATCAACAAAATTCTGTTACCAACCTGTCGATAGTTCACTTATAGAAACATCTATACTGACCTTCAAATCCTATTTTTGTGTAAAATTTAGCAACAAAATGCATAAGCTCAGATAGCAGAAGATTTTTCCCTATAGGAAACCCAGATGATCTGTTTGATTCTTTCTAGCATGATGAAATCTCCCTGCTGACTGGAAATGGTGAGATTTATAGCATAGTACACCTAGAAGCTGCCAGGATGGAGAAGGCTGGCCTTAAAGCATAGTATCTAATAGACAGTAGAAAATAAGTTTCAGCACTGATCTGCTGCAAGCTGTTACTTTATTTTCACCCTTACCTAACCCAATCTACTGTTTATGTACTCTTTAATCTCCATGGGGCTTTAGCATAACAGTTTAAAAATAACCACATATTATTTTTTAAAAAAATGTCCAAATGCTTTTTAAAATGTCTCAGCATGCCCTTTGAAAATAACTTTGACCAATAACTAGAGTACATAACTTATTATGCCACTTTCTGGCCAGGCTGGCTTGAAGGTTTTGGGAACTATAGTCCACAAAATTAACTTTTCCATGCTCTTGTTCACTGGTCCCCAACCCTGGGCCTCCAGATTGTTCTTGGACTACAACTCCCAGAAGCCTTCATCACCACCTCTGCTGGCCAGGATTTCTGAGAGTTGAAGTCCAAGAACATCTGGAGGCCCAAGGTTGAGGACCACTGCTCTAGTTGATATCTCATTTGGGCAAAATGCCTAAATAAGGATAAATTATTTACTGGATTGTGACATTACCATTTTAGGTTTGTACATTTGTTGAACAAATTGTTGATGCTTGATTTCTGCCATATCAAAATGCACAAATGTACTTTTCTTTATTGTTGTGCAGCTGTTGTTGAAGCTTGAGGAAACAGGACTGGAAACGGAAGGAATTCTTCGAGTGCCTGGATCTGCCTCAAGAGTTAAGGTATGCAGCCTTCCCATAGAGACTTTACAAACTAGTGATGCTTTTGCAGACACAAAGAAATCTATGGAAAACTGATATATGAGCATTTACTCATACAGTATGTCAGCCTTATTTCATTCATTCCTCCAATTTTCCATGTGCTAGTGTGTCTACCCTGCAGGCACCAATATAAGAAGGGGGGGAAGTATCAGCTGGCTCAGGAGGAGGCAAAAAAAGGTCTTTAGAGCAAAAAAGTGAGGGAAGGGAGGAAATGGTTGTTGTGGGTTTTTCGGGCTCTTTGGCCCGAAAAAGGAAAATTGTAAAAGAACTCAAGGAGGACCAAGTGGGCAATGTGAGCCAGAAATGTTAACTTACTTTGGGAAGGGTAGACAGAAAACGGAGAAGGAATGGAATGGAGTACCATAAATAAGAGCATCCCCCAATGTTTTGTTGGAGGTCTCATTTGAATTTTGTTCAGTTATACCATTGTTATCAGATCATGGGATAAAAATCCAGCACCTCACAACTTGGAGTCCCACCTCCATGACTCTGGGGGAAATGGCAGTAGCATGCCGTTGTGCAATGCTGTGCTCTCTGAATTGAAAACCATCAGCCATTTTAGGTTTCCTAGCCTGCCCCTTCAGAGCTCCAGGACCATCACTGACCTCCCCACCCCCAAGTAACATTTGATTGGCTGAGCTTGTTACCACTATTCCAGTCTTGGATATATAGCTGAAAGCACATATGGCCGCAGTCAGCCATTGTTTGCTCCATAGTCTGTGTGGCCAGACAGCTTTCTCTGCTTCATACAAGTGAGTCAACAGTGAGACGAGGGAAAGAGAGAGGAAATGATGGCAGTTTCTTAAAAAGTAACAATGAAACAGCTTGCCACAGGCACACTCACATGTGGATGCACCTCTGCTAATGCTTGTTTGGTCTCAATCTTAATGAAACTTTTAGGTCTTCATTCGGCTAGACAAGACTTTAAGCAGGTTTGACTAGACAATGCTTGATGTACTTTTCAACTCTACAATTCTATGGCAGGTCTACAATTGTACAATTCTATGATAAAAGAGTTGCGTCTGCTAACAAATACTATTATTTAATAGAAGTATTTTTCACACTGAAGTTTAAACGTTTTGTGTAGACGCTCTTATGATCAGGATAGGAGACTGGATGATCTTTTAGCTATTAAATTTAATCACTAAAGAACGCCTTCTCTGTTTTGAATTTTGAACAACAAAATAATGCTTTTTGCATTAGTTTCCATATATTGTTATACACTACTCTGTTTCGGTGTAATTGTTTTTCCATATCCAAGCAGTACTTTGTGATGTGTGTTATTATGTCCAATTATTGCATATTGGAAGGGAAGCCAAAAATTCACATGAAAGATGCAATGTCTTTAATATTCAGTTATGAGATCATTTAAGTCTGTCAGCCTGTAAGAGGCAATGAGATTTTTTTTCTAAGCCAATCCATACTTCACTGCTTAAAGCCATTAGTTATTATGTTGACATAAGTAAGGATTTGAAAGTGTTCCAGCAAATTAAGACAGATCCATATGGATTTAATTAAAGACTCTTTCTTGGATGTGGCAAAGGTTGAAAAGTAATTTGAGATTCTGTCTCCTGATTTCTGATAGTTTCTACAAAAGGAAAAGTCACATGGTTGATTTAACATGAGACATGTATGGCTAAATAAAGGGAGGCTGTACAGGGTACATCGTAAATACATCATTTGAAGTGATATGATTATTTTTTTAAAATTTGCTTGAATCCTTTCCTTTATGCACTGTCACAATATGAATTTGTGCGTAGAAGCTTCAAGTTTGTGGAAGTGCAACACTGCGTTTTCTTCATATGTGCTGGCTGGCCATCCGACTGCTCATTCTTGTCAGTTCTTTCAAAATGAAGGGGGATGGTATCTGAGGACAGTTTAACATATAAACAAACCCACATTTAGAATGATTTAACATGTCCGTATTGAACCCAGGCAGAATGGATTGTGGAATGACTTGTGCAGAAGGATAGGATTCAAAGTATTTCATGCTTATTACATATTAGCAAAATCTCCATAATTATAATAAGTAGATGGGAAGAAAACTGAGTATATCTTAATTTTTTTAATTAGCCATGTTAGAAAACTGAGCATATCTTAATTTTTTTAATTAGCCATGTTTGTTTTGTCATATAGAGTCTTCGCCAAGAAATTGAAGTGAAATTTGATGAAGATACTTTTGACTGGGATCAAGTACGCAACAACGATGCAGCAGGGCTTCTGAAGATGTTTATACGAGAACTTCCAACTCCACTCTTCACTATGGAATATTTGCCTGCTTTCATTACATTAGTGGAAAGTAAGTAGAAAGGAATAAGTATTCTGCTTAGTATCTTCTTCATAATCCAGTGTCATAACATGATCCAAAAATTTAAAAGAATACTTTTTTCATAAATATTTTCTCCAGCGATTTTACATATGTATTATCTTCTAGATCCAGTTTAGACCATATCTGCTAATGGGTCACTATGTAGAGCATTCGTTTTGAAGGCTTTCCTGAGAGCGAATGTTCTGGGAAATGCTTTCAATATGTTTTCTGTAAGCCGATCTTCATGAATCCACCAAGCTTAGTTGTCTTCTGTGAACAACAGGGGAGGAGACACATGCACCACTACTACTATGCATACAGTATATTTTGTGAAGTTAGGGAGGTATATGAAGTATATGAACATGTACATAGACTACATTTGCATGATTCTTTTATCTCAAACATGGCAACTTCACACATCACATTTTAAGATGTCATGCTAAAATGTAGGTTGGTATAATGGAAATGATCCCAGCCTCTTTCTGAATTCATATGCCCCATCTCCCTTTGTATAACTGAGAAGACAAACTGAAAGTTTTTGCTTATAATTTTCCAGTGTTAAGGTTAACATTCCACCTGAAGATTTTTGTTTGACTTTTTATGGGAAGAAAATCTGACAGGGCATTTATTCAGTTAGAAAATCTACTTTTGAAAATAAACCATGACTCACAGATTTCAGTGAGAGGGATACTTATACACGTGATGCCTCACCATGCCTAAAGGAGTCTCTAGTTAGCTCATTTTCACCTTTTTAACTGGTTTTCAAATTCCTCCTGATGTCAAACATTGTTTCCTGTGGGGCATAGACAGTTGTTTTGTAGGAAAAAAATCAAAAGGTCTGAGAGCTGAAATTCTGGTCTTGATTTATATATTTGGCAGGACAATAGGAAAATGGGGATTGCTGGACTGTGCAAACAAACAGAACCAGCTAGTTGTGTGTACACAATCTGTAGGACACACAACAGTAGCCTATAGAAATGCAGCTTTGGTGGATTTCTCTACTTAGGCTTTTCTACTCAAGTCCTTTCAATAATAGTTTATCTTCTATGGCAGTATATTGCTGATCAGTATTTTGTTGATACAGAAGGATAAGGGAGCTACTCCAAAATAAAAATATTCATTTGCTTCTCTTCATGAAATCAGTGTGTTTTGTAAAAGAAAAATGGCAGTTTAATGTTGTTTGTTATTGTAATGTCTATCCCTCAGCTACTTTTTATATTTTTATCCATACAGGATGCAGTTTTCCTGCCAAAGGAAAACATAACCAGTGATTTCACTGAGATAATTTGTTGAGTCAGGATAGTTTGAATCACAGGATTAGATACACTGCCAAGAATTGTGATGCCAGCCAACCCTGGTGAAGCACTGGAAGATTAAATCTTCACTTTGAGTCAGGAAAACAGCTAATTGTTTTATTGGCTCATTTTGGTAATGTGCTGCTGATCACTGCATTATGAAACAGCCTGTGTTTCTGTTAATTACTGCTTCCTTACAGGACTGCTTAAGAAGTTGCTGTAGTGATTGTTCTAATTTAGACACACATTCTTACAGAACAAAGCTTGGAGCATTGACAAGTATCTTTTTCAATATTTACATGCACATGGTACTCCAAAAGCAGAAGCTGCTGCATTGATCTAGTGAGGTGGTAGTTGTGCATAATCGGGCACAATCCAAGCATCATCAGATCACCATGGCAGTTTCTGCAGCCGGAGTTCTGTATCTGTAAATATTAAACAGGATACTGTCATTATTTGTTCACTCTCCCCCCTCCATCACACACATTTTCCTCCTTTTAAAGTAACTTGTTATCATTACTCATTGCTTGGATCATGGAACATGATAAGTATAAATTAAAGTAACCTGGAAACTGGAAGCTGTATTCTCTCTGCCAAAATGAGACCAGGAACAGATTGTGATACTAACCACAAAGAGTTAAAAATTAGAGAGAGAGCTGAAAAAGAACACTAAAAGAGTCATAGTGCCTAAGTATAATTTAAATAACATTTCTGATTAATTTAAAGCTCATATAAAGAACAGATTGGCATTACTAAACTCAATGAACTGTAAACCAAAAGAATTGTGGGTTAAAACCAGAGATAATGTGAGGGCAGAATGCAAAAAGCCAGTTCTGTTAATCAAAAGAAAAGAAAAGTTTAAATGGAAGATGAAAGAAACAAAATCGTTAAGGAAGAAGAGAAACAAAAGTAAAAGGTGTCAAAAACAGAATCAGAATCCTGAATGTAGTTGTTAGGAAACTATCATGCAGAGACAAAGAGAACTATTACAATAATCACTGCAAAGAAATAGAAGAGAACAAAAGAGAAAAATAAAAATATCTCTTCCTTAAGATCCAAGAAATCAAAGGGAAATTTAAGTCTATATTAAGGATTCTGACTGGTTGACAGGGAGCTTACTATTTGACCAGGATAAAATTAAGAGAAGGTAGAAGCAATATACTGAAGCACTACACACAAAAGATGCAAGGATGACAGATTCCTTTGAAGAAGAATCTTATGATGAAGAACCTGCAGTGACAGAAAGTGCAGTGGAAGCTGTTCTGAAAGCATTGGGAAGAAATATATTACCAGGAGTAGATAAGATACTGATATAATTATTTCAGTCTGCAGAGACTGAACCTGTCAAAATCTTAACAAGAATATGCCAACAAATACGGAAAATGAAAACATGGTCCACAGACTGGAAATGTTCAACATACATCTCACTTAACAAATGGACTGTAACCATAGAACCATTGCATTAATTTCCCATGCAAGCAAAGTGATGCTTAAAGTGTTGGGGCAAAGACCTTTACCTTATACGGAGCAAGAGATGCCTGATATTCAAACTGCATTCTGCAAGGAAGAGGTTGTAGAGATTGTATCAGAAATGTATGTTGGCTATTGGAATACCATAGCAAAGAATTTCAGAATTGTCTATGCTTTATAAACTGCAGCAACGAAATGGGTGTGCCTCGTCACTTGTTTGTCCTGATGCATAGCCTATGCTCTGGATAAAAAACAAGTATTAGGACGGACTATGAAGGATAATGGTTTCCCATAAGGAAATATGAGACACGGATGCATTTTATCACCCTATCTGTTCAATTTGTGCACAAAACATATGATACAGGAAACTGGACTAGATTTAAATGAAGGTAGAGTGTAAATTTGTGGAAGAAATATCAATAATTTGAGATATGCAGATGATACCATATTATTGGCAGAGAGCAGCAACGACTTGAAATGACTACTAATGAAGATAAAAGAAATGCAGAAGTAAGATTGTAGCTGAACATTAAGAAGACAAAAGTCATGGCTACAAAACAACTAGATAACTTTAATGCTGATAATGAAAAAATTGAAATTGTTGAAGATTTTCTATACCTCAGTTCAGTCATCAATCCCAATGGAGACTGCAGAGATAAAATTAGAAGACTGAGATTTGGGAGGACAAGGTTTGAAGGAACTAGACAAGACATTGAGTATAAGGACATATCATTGGAGACTAAGGGCAATATCATCAACACCACTGTATTTCCAGTTACTATGTATGGAAAGGGCAGAGTCACAAGCAGACTGAGAGGATCTCCAGCAGAAGCTGTCTTAGTATGACTGCTTGGCAATAAACAATGGACAAATTTGGAAACAGACAATTAGGTTCACCTCTCTTTGGTCTGACATTGCTGTCAGTGAATTCCTAACTCATTTATTACATGGTGTCCACATGAAAGAATAAACAAACATCTGAAGTACAAACATGGGTAACGGAGTACTGTGGGCAAAGAGAGCCCCGCCAAAAACTTGAGGTCAGGTTTTGTTCTGAAAGCAAATTATGGAGCTTTGCAATCCCCAACTAGTCTACAGATGTCTGCCAATGTATAGAAAACTGGAGCACATCCAGGCAAGCATTTAAACTTCACTGAGTACCTAAAGAAAAATCTAACCAAGTGAAATCATATGTTTTTCCCATGTGGTATTGGAAGAAGCACTGAAGATTAACATTTCCAGTTTGCAGGAGAAGAATAGGTGAGTTTCAGTAAAAAAATGACAAACTTTGAGGAATGTTTTTTACTCCAAAAGAATTAGACTTTTGGAGAATTCTTGACTCTAGGGTTCAGATACTCCACCTTCCTTACCAGAAGAGTCAGTGGTGAGGAATGTTAGGAGTTATAGCTTGACAGCATCTGGAGGGCTACACTTTACCCTCTCCTGTATCATTGAGAATCAGACTATTATTTCTTTAAAGACAATAGCAAACCCCAAGGAAGCAGTGTTATCCTTAGAATTTTTCAACCATCTACAATAGATGTGCCTTTTATGTCAGGAATGAAGTACCCAAAGAACTTCAGTTGTTGCTGTGACAAACCCAGACCTACTGGGATATGTCACACAGTTACACTAAGCTGCCACCAACCATTCCCTATAAGAAGTCACACAGACCAGGGATGGATTTTTAAACAATAAAAAGAATAAGGTTTATTTAAATACACACAGGGAAAAATAATTAGCCATGCTGGCTGTTTCTCATGAGAACAAGCTCAATATCCAGAGGGACAGAAATTCTTCATGCCTGATTCAATAGGATTATCAGCATTTATGATGAAATGGATTTATCCACAAGAGATAAAAACTGTCTTGCAGCAGAAAGCTTCTGTAGCTCTTCTCCATTCTCAAAAATAATTTACCAATTAGGTTGTGACCTTGTTTAACACAGGCAGTTAATCATTTATTCATTTTTGGTTCTCCTTGGAGGTACTCCTGTTTATAGTCTTTCTTCCTGGGAAAGAACAGGGGAAATGTGAGCACAGCATTCCACTCTGTAAGTTTCTTAGGAACTTAGGAAAGGTCAGAAAAAAATGTTTGGAACTACGCGTGGTTTTATCAAAATGATGCTTTTAGAAAATGTTAGATAGAGCGTGTTATTTGGGGACAAACATTTTCAGTTCTTTTAATACTTTTAAACATTGGCTCTGCAAGCAAATGATTAATTTAAATCTGTCCATGGTGCACACCAGAGTCATTGCAGAGATGAGCTTTATAGTGCAGCAAGTCCAAAAGAACAATGCATCTATGGTCCAAAGATAAATGGTATCTGTACAATGCCTTGGAGAGAGGCAGGGTAAAAATATTTTAAATAAAATAAATAAAGAAATAAATATGTACACTGTTAACAAGGACAGCTCATACAGATGCCTCATACCAAAATTTCAGAAAGAGCCTCCACCACTCATATGAGCACTATCTGACGTTAATGAACAATCACTTGAAAACAAATTATTTTTTATTCAACTTGAGTCAGAAAAGGAATATACAGAGGACTTCTCTGAAGGAAGGCAAGTGTTCTGAGACGTCAAAGAAAAACTGATTGGCAGTCGACAATTAAAATGCCTGCCTTATGACCCAGAGAAGAAACTATTCAGGGAATGTACCCCTAAAAACAAAGCTTCTTTCTAAGAGCCTTGTTCCCTTGAAAGTCAGAGCAGAAGTCTTTCCTATTATTATCTTTTGCAAAATTTTGTGTTTGGTACCTGGGCTGGATAGATAGAATGAGGAAGGTGAAAATGAACCAAACCTATGCCTGCTCACATAGAAGTAAGTCAATGGGACACTTGATTAAGTACCAACAAAATCAACATAAATCAACATAATTCTCTAAATGAATGAATGAGTTTTGACAGAATGATTAGTTGTGTCAAAATAAGTGTGCTACTTTAATAAAACCAATATTGCAATGTATAACAAAGGGTTGTCACTGAATAATACAAGTGATTTGAGTCATTGGATTATATGTGAAACAGATTATCTAATAAAGAGAAAAAAGAAGTAAAAAATATAGACCAAGTGTTCATTTTAAATAGGCAATTCCCAAACTTCTCAACATCACATCCCCTTTTTGTTTTATGAGAAACCCTTACACCTCCCGCTTGCCCCATGCACAAACACATGCACCGCCCCCTGCATGCACGCATGCCCCCCAAGTACACATGCGCGCACGCACGCGCGCACACACACACACACACACACCCCTTGCCTGGAAGCCTGCCGCTGGCCCCTAATAGAGAGGATGTTGAGTCAGGTGGATTTTTAGTTTTACCTGTTTCAGTTCTTTAACAGGTTCTCCCCATCATTTTGCCCTTAGAAATCGCCAGTGTCAAACTGCAGTTGCAGGCGTTGCATTTGCTGATCCTGTTGCTTCCGGATGCCAGCAGGGATGCAGCCAAGGTAGGCATGCTGTTTGGTAAGGCAGACAATTTCTGTGGGTTGATTCTCAAGTGGTTGGGGCAGCTGGTGGACCAGATGGGGGCAGCTCATCTCTATTAGAGGTGTGTGTTTTTGGTGTGTGTTTTTCATACTGCTTCATTTTAATCACAAGTTGCCTTAGATATATCAGAAAGTAAACAAAGGCAAAAAAGGCAACCAATTTATTTCTTTTTTCTTATGTGAAAAATGCTTTCCTCAAAGGAGTTATTTATGTAAAAAAGACCAGATAAGTCACATCCAGAAAGCTTATGCGACTAGTGAGGTTTAATTAACATCAGAATTATTTTCATGTTATCTGGCAACATTTTATTACACAATATGAATCAAACTAGGCCACCATGCAACAGCCCAGCACACGTGGGACCACTGACCCTTGTTACCTCTGTAGATATGATAACATTAACGATGTCATATATGGCTACATAATCCTTGGCTCTGCTGTAATGTGCTTAGGGAATTGTTTTTATTGTGTATTGTAGGTTTTGTGTTCAATCTGGATTTTGCACTTTTAAATCATTTTTTAAAACATAATAATGTTTTTTAATGATACAGGCCATGTTCAGATAGAATAATTTGTAAAATGTAACTTGACTGGCAGTTTGACTTGATCTGACTTAATATTCTTGTATTATTTTGCATGTCATCTGATTTCAGGCATGTTTTAATGTTAGTGTATTGTATCTCATGGGAAGTGCAACTTGCTATTCCACCAAAATTTACTGTGACTAATATAAATGGAATCTACAGTAGTGTGGGTCAGAGTTAATACTAAAGCATTTTTGTGATCCAGCAAGTTTGGTCTGAGTGGCATTCTTTCTGCCAGGCACTTCTACAGTTCCTAAAGAAGGTGGTTGCTAATGAAAGGAAAAACAAAATGACTTTATGGAATGTTTCTATGATTGTTGCCCCGAACCTCTTCATCTACAAAGGCAAACGTGCAAACCAAGAAGAGATGCTAGCAGCTGCCACCACAGCACATGTCGTGAGACTTCTGATTAAATACCAGGATATCCTGTGGACAGTAAGTAAATGTTTTAGATACAATTAAAGAGATTTTGCCATCTCTTTCTGACCAAGGGTCCCTCTAATTTTTGGCCCCACTGTGTTGGGAGCCTTGTCCCATGTGTGCACAGGGGGCAGGATTTCATCTGAAATCAGAACCAAATGGGTATAAACACCGTGGGCGACTGCATGGGGGTGCACACACAGTTTAGAGGAAACATTGTTTCAGACTGCATTCCTTAATGTAGGATTCAGGGGGACGTTACACAGATATACTGTGTCATTTCTGAAGTAGGAATACAACAATGGTGCATGTTTCTACACCTTGTTCAGCTGTTAAAGGCCCAGGACCTTTGCAGACCTGTACCTACCTTAGGCTTGCTGAAAGCAGGGATAAAATTCATGCAAGAGACTATGTTATCTTTATCAGTACAGACAAGCAGTTACTGATGTTTAAACTAGATTTGTATTTAATCGGAAAAAATTAATTTAGTTTGAAAGGTGTAGAAGTCTGTGTTTAACTTGAACCTGCAGTTCTAATTGCCTGTTTAAAAGCCCCTGTTTAAATATCAAGCCTAGAATCTTTGAAATGGGCTATCCATGTATTTGCATAAAAGTGTTCTCTGAGCAGCTTTCTGTTTGCGAATATTTAATGCTCCTCGTGTTCTGCAGCAATAGACTGCCATATAGAATCAACTCGAACATCTCTGTGTGCTAAATATATGGTTTCACTTTCAGGAAGGAATGGTGAAATGGATGGGATAGCCTCTGAGACTCTCAATGTTCCTTTTCAGGGAATCGTTTCCAAGGTCACATCTTTGGAATTTCTGTGGTAGAATTACCTTCAAGGAGCATGTTGTGGGGATGAGTTTTGGAAAGTCATTTTTCATATATTCCTAGTTTTGCTTTCTTCTATCCATTTAGGTCCCAACGTTTCTGATTTCCCAGGTGAGAAAGATGAACGAGGCAGCAATGAACAATTCAAAAAAGCAACTAATGTTTGACAAGGGAGTGCGAAGACTCTTGAGGAGGAAAACTATGGAGCGAGAAAGGCCAGAAAGGCCAGAGGTATTTAGTTAGTCATTAGTTGTATAGACCACTGATTGGAGGGTGGGACACAAGATTGGGTATCGATACCATTACGTATCTACATCGGCTAAAATACCTAAAAATCAGGAAACGCCCAAAAGGTACGAGAACAACTGATTGTCAACAAAAATAACAGCCCGTTCTGCCAGAGAAGGTATAAAGAGGCAGGTCTTTGACAGATACCTAAAGCATGCTAAAGTTGACCTTTCCAAATACCAGGATAAATAGCATTTGATAAGGTGGGGGTCACCACTGAGGAGGTCTGATTCTATACCATTGTTAGACGGCAGTCTGCAGATGGCAATACAACCAGCAAAGCCTCCTGTAATAATTGTAACATTGACGTCCACCTATAGTGGTAATGGTAATCTGCCACCCTTTTGCTTCCATTCACGAGACACAAATACTTGTCACTCATGCCTGCTGCTGGGTTATTTAGGAGCCTCATGGCACAGTGGTTAAACTGCAGTCAAAAACTGCTCACGTTCAATCCGAGTGGATTCACATAGCTGGCTCAAGGTTGACTCAGCTTTCCATCTTTCTGAGGTTAGTAAATAGAGTACCCAGGTCACTGGGTAGTGGAGCAGGACGTAGCCTGCATAATTAAAATTGTAAACTGACCAGAGAGTGCTTTAAATGCTGTTGAGTGGTATAAAAGGAACACACTGCTTATTTATTAGCATTCTCTCTAGAATCAGACCCTTCTTCCCAGTTTCCTCCAGTCCCATATATTTTCATGTCCAGTTTCTTTCTGCAGCAACCCTCGTCCCCAAAGTATCAAGATTAAACAAAACAGAAATAGAACAGGCTACATTTTCTGCAACATACGGTCAGTTGCAGTTTGTGATGATATTGTTCTGCTCATTTTAGTGATATCCGCACTCAGTTGCTTGGGGGTATTTCTTATTGAACACAGTAAGAATTAATGTTGAGCAAGCATATATAGGGCTGTACTGTTAAAGAGGCAATTACTACCACAAATAGGCTATTCAGATTTAAGTATTTATCTGTGAAGTTTTCATACTGGAAAACAAGAAATATATTTCAAGATTTGAAAACTACAATGATAGTCAGAACATGAAACTGGCAGGGAATAGTGTTTGTTTAAGTCAGTTCGATTTCAGTCAGGTCAGCATAAAATTGGCTTTCAGATGTTCTGAATTACACAAGTCCACAGATTGAGGGGAGATAACACTGCTAAACCTTCCATTGTTCTTTTCTCTTGGTAGTACTAATTGTGTTAGAAGCTAGAAGCAAGCATTGCTAATTGAATTATTCTGCTATTATACAGGGGAAAAAACATAGATAACATCTATGGTTCTCAGTGTAGTCAGCTATCTTGAATTTGTGCCCACCTTTTCAAACAGGAGACTTTTTCCAGGTTAACAACAGTAAAATGTGAGAGTTCCACTTCAGTGGGGTTAAACTACTAATGATAATCTCCATGAGAAAAACAGTGGCTGCCAGGTGGATGGGAGAAGGTATACAGTCTATGAAACAGCTCGAGTTAATACAGCACTTCAGTTGTAAACATTGAAAATATTATTATGTATCAAATAAAAGTAAATTCAGTAGGAAATGCATTGTATTATCACTAGTAAGATTTACTTCTGAGAAAATACATTTGGAGAAAAATGCACCAACACCTAGGTGGGTCAAAAGCACACATAATTTTTGGCTAGATGGCAGCTTACTGATCTGTGTCTTAAGATATGCCATGCAAGGTTTCATTTCACATGTAGATTTATGTTGTTTCCTTTTGAAGGAAACACTATTTGGTTGTTGTGGGTTTTTCGGGCTCTTTGGCCGTGTTCTGAAGGTTGTTCTTCCTAACGTTTCGCCAGTCTCTGTGGCCGGCATCTTCAGAGGACAGCACTCTGTGCTCTGGTGTAGTTGGCTTGGGAGTGGAGTATTTATGGCTGTGAGATGGGCTTTTGTCTGTTTCTGTAGATGGGTGATTAGTGTGTCTTGTTGTGGGTGTATTGTTGTGATAAGAAGGAGAGATTATCTGTCACTGCGGTTGATGGGTGTCATTAGATAAAAAAAGAGGAACTTCAAAAAAAAAGAGGAAAGTTTGAAAGTCAACAAAACTTGGCTCCCAGCTCTCAAAAATACAGCGTGCAAAAGGTCAAAGAACTCTAACCAGCCACAAGGTGATCACTACAAACAAAAGACCAGCTAATGACACCCATCAACCACAGTGACTGATAATCTCTCCTTCTTATCACAATACACCCACAACAAGACACACTAATCACCCATCTAGAGAAAAACAAAAGCCCATCTCACAGCCATAAATACTCCACTCCCAAGCCAACTACACCAGAGCACAGAGTGCTGTCCTCTGAAGATGCCGGCCACAGAGACTGGTGAAACGTTAGGAAGAACAACCTTCAGAACACGGCCAAAGAACCCGAAAAACCCACAACAACCATTAAATCCCGGCTGTGAAAGCCTTCGCAAAAACATGAAACACTATTTGTTTTATGGACATCAAATCCGGATGCCAAAGGCTTCCAGATCCACTGGTCAAGCTGTTTAGGTTTTGATGTGTGCCTGGGATTGTATGGGTTGCCCTCTCCTAGAGCACCCCATAGGCCTGAGAGTCCCCCAGCACTTGGGAGAGGCTTTTCATGGGATCATTAGGGCTTCCGTGGTAAAAAAAGAGCCCCTTTGTGCAAGCAGATTCCTTCTGGGATAACTGTGGATACAGCTTACATCACTTACTGTCTCTGCAGTTCCTGTCATGAAATTAGCAGACTGCTGTTTCTGTCCTGTTTCTACAGCCTGACATACCCGAAGGGGTGATCAGAGTTCACGCTCCACTGCATTCAAAAGTTTCTATGGCAATTCAACTGAACAATCAGACGCAAGCCCAGGATATTGTGGCACGATTTTACTGTGAAAACAGGTGAGTAAAAACAGAAATAAGCTACAGAGGAGAGGAAAATCTTATCAGGAAAAATGTTCTGCATACTATATTTCACAAGTTATATTCAGTTTATATTACTGCCTGATGGAAGTTTCAATTTATTCTTTCACTTGGGCTGGGCCAGTATGATGGCTTAGCATGACATACGTGTGTAGGACTTGACAAGCTCTAGGCTAGTGAGGGCTCGATTACATGGACTGGATATGATTGTTTTGCAGGTGAGTTAAAAATCTCTTTTGCCAGATCACAAGAAAAGTTTCCAAACCTTGTTGGTCTTGAGCACGGAAGTATAAACCAGGGGCATTGTAAAGTAATAAAAGAGTTGCAAAATCATTAGCCAAAATCTAGAGTCACAGTAATCAAGATTCATTCAACCTTGTATGTTTTCTCTCTACAAGTTAACTGTGCTAAAGTGACTGCATTTAAAAATGAAATCAAATTGGATTCCATCCTAGTTGCTTTAGTGCAAATCTCCTGGTCTACCATGCTTGTAGCACTTGGCATGTTGCTTCACAGCCTGACACTCTCACTGAGGCTCCCCATGCAAGCAGAAAAAGAGAGAAAGAAAATCTGTACAGTACTTTTTGAACCACTATGTCCTGTAGCTTTTCTGGATTCGTGCTGGGAGGCTATAAGGTGTGGGAAACATTTATTATTTCTTTTTTTAGCCATTATGGCTGTTCCATACATACTCTGCACTCCCATGCTCCCAATGCAATGGAAATAAACTGTGCCAGGTCTGTGCCTTTTGTTCCAGGAGTATGCTGCCGAACAGGAAGGCTTGGGATCCCGTGGATATATATCCTTCTCCCCCCATCCCTCTAAATGTCTCTCTCACCCCCTTTTTTAGAATTCTGTCTCAGAGAAACAACAGACACTCTTACAGCAACCTGGTAAAGGAGTTTAGCTACATCTTCTGGACCCTGGGCCATAAGACTGCAGCCATGAGACAGCTGCCTTTACTTTGAGGTCATAAATATTGCATTTAACAAAAAAAGTCATTTTTACAGCCTATAAACTAAACCAGAATGGTTAATATACTGCTGCCCAGAGGCTGCACGTAGCTCCTAGGGCCATTTTTGCATCCCATCCCCCAACAGTACCACCGGGATCCCAAGCCCCATTTCTCCTGAAACTTAAAATTATTTAGGGAAAAAAAATATCCTTTTCTGCCTTTTAGGGGGCCACAGGGGCAATTTTATAGCATTTTCAGGGACCCTAGCACTCCAGGGCCCTGTATCTTCCAAATTTGAAAAATAAATAAACAAATTTTGGTCATTAGGGAACTCAAGGGAGACTTTTCTCTTTTTTTTTTTTCATATATATATAATGGTTAAAACAGTTTTTCTGTTAACAAAACCCATTGTAACAATCTTTATAATGCATAACAAGTACATAAAAAATTTAAACATGCAAGTTAGCTTGCTTGGTCCCTGCCCTCCTGCTCAAGTGTTCAGCCCTTGTGCTGTCAGCAAATCTGGGAAGTAGCCCTCTGCCCTGCTCACTCCTGCACTCAGCCAACATATCCATTTGCTATAAATTATACCAAGCAATCTCAATCTCGTGATACCAAAAAAGTGTATGTTTTTCCCCCTGTGGAAGAACTGTGACTTAACTCTGTTGTGGTACTCAAAACAAATTCCTGAGATAAGATTTAATTTATTCAAAGTGTATGTCTTTTGCATGAGGACCTAGCTGGATGGTTTGGAGATTATTAAAAAAGAAAGAAAAACCAACCAAACTAGATCCCACCAGCCCAGTCCAGCACAACATGATGCACATCAAGTGCTTTTCAGTTTGCAAGAAATTTGTGATTCAAATCTGCATAGAATTAAACAGATTTCTTACAATAAATTATGTATCCTACCGCTGAAGGGTAGGAGTACTGTTGATTCTACTGAGAGGATTATACATGTGGCAGGCAGTCTGTCTTAGTGATTCATTTAAAATGTAATGGACATAAGGATGTAGGGCAGTCATCTGAGTGTAGAAGAAACATAACTAAGACCATTCTTCAAAATGATGCTTTAATATTTTATTTTATGTTCCTTTCCCAATCTATAGCTGTGGATCATCAGAGAAGGTGAAAATGCAGATGCAAAGTTTACATGAAATTGGAGGAAATATAGGTAAATGTTTCCTTGCTGTTCAGGAATAACTGTGTAGTCTTTTGAGATAGGCTTTAGCTGCATGCCTAAAAAAAATTGCAATGCATGACAAGTACTATTTATTTATTTATTTATTTTATTTATATCCCGCCTATCTGGTTGGGTCAGGACCAATCTAGGCAGCTATCCAGCTATCCAGTTTTATCCAATCCTCATTAAGAACATGAGATAGCAGTAAGAGGTGCATCCTGTATTACCACCCTTGCTACTAGTGTTTCTGCTAATATTATTAACATGCAGCTAGCAGGAGTACAATGTTTACACAGGCAAAAATGGACTGCTGGAGTCATTCAGTGGCTAAAACTGAATGTTGCAACTAGAGTAGGCCTATTTTAATAAATGGAATTATGGAGGAGTTGACTCACCAATCCCTAGTGATTCAGCTAGCCTACTCTAGAGCAACTTACTACACTAATCAACAGGATCTCAGCCAATGTGTCTATAGTTATTTGTATAATATCGCATCATATTATCTTTTCAGCTTGGAATGTTTAGCCATTTTCAGATACTGGAAAAGTTCCCCTTTTTTTAGCTACAACGTACAGAATTCCCCAGCCAACATTCAATGGAGTAAAAGCAACAGCAGGACAACTCCAGATGTTTCTGGATTGCGGCTCCCTGTCATGCTTCACCATTGACCATGCTGGCTAAGGCTGATGGTGATTGTAGTCCAAGAACATCGGTGGGGACTGCATTTTGCCTACTCACAATGGAATATATATCTTGAAACCCGCTTATTATGGCTTATTGTATGATAAGGTGAATTTCTTGCTCACACAGAATCCTTTTATCTTCCAAACAAAAAAACAGGTTGCCATATAAAGCCTCCCTAGTTCAAACATAAAGGATAAGGAAAGCAGATAAGTATTCTTGGGAGTTAATACAGCTTCTTTCTCTTAATGGTCCTCTGGAGCATGACCATTAGTCCAGAACAGCAATATATATATACTGGGAATATTTTCCCTTAAAAGTATGCCATACGTTATAAATATAACATCTTCTAAAATGGTTTTGTTTGACATCTTTGTTAATTGTTAGCCATTTTTTAAAAACTGGTGTTTCTTCCAGGACAGCACTGTTTAGACCCAGATGCTTACATGCTGGATGTTTACCAAGCAAATCCTCAAGCCGAATGGGTGATTAAACCAAAAATAAGTTGAAACCTGTAAAGACATTTTGGCTGAACACTTGGAAATTACCGAAAAGGATGATTGGAAAAGCTGGCCTTACCTTGAGCCATATTGCCAACAATGAAGCCAAAGTAACCACTACTCTGCAAGTGTCTTTTTGACATTAATTTACTGTTTCTATCCTTTAGGTGTATCATAGAACTTGAGAACTGTTATTTCAGTTAATGGTTTGTTATAATAATAATGATAATTTATTTTGTGATAAGTACCCTTTGACACTGATCTTAAACACTGGTGCCACTTTTCAACTAATATGAAGGAATGAAGACAGAAGCTTCTCTTAGCAGGATTAAAAACTGGATCCTCTTGTCATTCCCATCTTGCCACTTATATTTTCAAAGAAGAAAACTGGTGGTATCCCCAGAACCAAAGAACAACCACTAATAGCAAGACGTGCAAAGGAAAAAAGGTGAGGCCAACCAAGCACTGTGCCAAAAGTCATTCCTGCTCATCCCTGACTATTCCTTGTCAAACGTCAATGATTACAATACCTTTGACTGATTTCATATTACTACCTGCCAAGGAGAGAGGAGAAAGCTACTGTATAGAAACGTTTTGACTGTTCATGTACTGTGCATGTATATAAATATATCAATATGTACGTCATTACATATCAGGGCATTAATCACATTTCTCTGGCTTTGCTTATGTACAAATTAATGCTTAATAATTAACAGAAGTAAGTTTGAAACAGATTCCTTTCACATAGTAGATTCCTTTCACATGGGTTGTTCTACATAAATGATTTGAAACAGCTGGAAAACAGATGATGCCTAGACACTTGCAAATCATTTTAGAAAAGTTTATGCCCATACTGCGAAGTGTTCACAGCCTGTTTCTCAAAAGTTTCTATTGTCCTTATTGTGTTTGTGTTGTGGGGGGGAAACGATGTTGTCATTTAATTTAGCATTTTAACAAGCAGGACTGAAAGTAATGGCCTTGTCTTGCTGCTCGCAGAAACATGAGATTGTGGTCTTCGGATAAGGAAGCGTGCTCTCAGCAAAAGGTGTTAGAAACTGAACACTGGCTAATGTCAGCCAGCGTTCAGTGCACTCTCCCATTTGTGTCGGTTGGAAAACTAAGCATGTTCAATCCCATTTAAAAAAACACACAGTCCTTTAGGGTTTAACACATACTTAGTATCAACTGGATTCTGCCCATTTTGTGGTAAATTAAGGATAGCCTTGGGTGGCTAAAAGCATAAGGCTTCTATAAGGAGATACTGACTGTTGCAGTAGAAGAAAGTGGGATCTACTGCATGAAATTATTTCCACTTTTTAATATTTACTTTTCTGTAGTAATTGTGGTGTGTGTGGATGTATACACATGCACGCTACATATGTATTGTAACCACAGAACCTCAAACATATTTAGATGTTTGAAAATTCGAAATATTTACTGTGTGGTTAATTCATTGTAGCTTTTTGGGGGCCATGAGTTATATAATGGGGGGAGGGAACCCTTGCATATTTTGAGGTGTGAGTAGAAAGTATATAAGCTCCATGTTAAGAGACAAACTGTTTTTGTGTAGATTGCATAAGCAGCTTGTGACAGGAAGGAGATTTTGGAGTGAGCCACCAACTCCATCAGTCCTTGAGTTGCCTATTACATTGCATGATGGGAATCCCATGGTTTTACTGAAATCAGTGTAACTTACACCAGTATATCAAGTTTAGCATATAAGTAGACTACTTAAAATATTTCAAGGGGTATAAAGAAGAAATGGCACAAAATTTACACTCCATAATTTGTCTCAATTTATTATTGTTATTCAAAGAAGCAGTATCAAAAGTGTTAAAAGTACTGGAACATTTTTTTCTCATTTATCTGTTTATGTCTTAATATTCCAGACTACCTCAGTGTATGTTAGATGCAAAGCTTTTGGGTTTTATCAGCATCAAGGCTGACAGCCCACACTTGTTTGTTATGGGATCAAGCTTCCTTAGCCACACCTCTGCTCCAGGTGATTAATGCTCACAGTGCTTTTCCTGAGTTGCTGCTGCCTGCATAATCCCAGTCCAGAGTCTGGTACTGTGCGTGCAGCCCTGGAGTAAGAGGTGAGATTCTAATGATACAAACCTCACAGGTTTTATGAGCATGGTTTTCAGTCTTTATAGATTGGCACCCATAAGACGTAGCTTTCATAGGCTCTACTTCCTCATTTCTTCACTACAAACCTACCCAGTATAGTTTATTTATAAGTAAGAATCAGTTGTCACAGAAAATAAATCAAGGCAAAACACACTATCCTATTAACACTACCTTTCTGTTCTCATCTGTGCATCAATGCTTCCTTTGATGTTTGTGCACTGCAATCCTATTTGTTTGTTTAAAACAAAGTGTTCTTTCACAGGATCTATGACAGTATCAGCTTCCACTATTTTAAATGTTTTAGTCCAGATTCTTGTGCCAATTTTTCTTCACTCATTTTAATATTACACATTGATAATTACTATATTGCAATTTTTTCATGAACAAAATCTGAACAACAGCTGAATAAACATCTGAACAGTGTGCTGAATGAAAACAACACAGAATCTTCTGCACTTCCATTTCTATTTGTATTGAGTTCATATGGAACAAAATGCCAGTACTGTATTCCTTTTAAAACAATTTCCAAACGCATATTCTAATAGCAGCAACACTTATTTAGAATGAAATCTTCTATAATGTGTTTCCTTTGACCATCTGTCATGAATGGGTTGATTGCAGGCACGCCAACTAAATAGAGGATTTAGAAAGTGGAACATGTATGTACTGAATCTAGGGCAAAATTAAAGTGGCATCAACTAAACCTCTTACATGCCTTCTTCCTTCCTATATTAAAAACATGGCTTCTTCCAGCAACTGAGCTTTAAAATTGCTGCAAGGGATAGTTCTAATAAAATGGAATTTGATACAAGTTGATAAAAAGAACAAGATTCTTAATGTACCGTTTATATATATATATATATATATAAACAAAAACACAGTTCAGCTCGCAGTGCCCTCTAAGCTGCAGAGGGTGGAGTATAAAATGGGAAATATATATTTAAAACTACCACACGTAAGAAATAAAATAATAACAGGCTGAATATGAAAACATGAATAGACATATTAAATACTAAATTTAATTAAATATACATGTTGGCACTCTTGAGACTCATCCTTTTTTGTTTGTTATCTTTCTGATGGATGCCTGCCAGTTTTGGTTTATCTGCCTAGCTTATTCTCAAGCCCTTGGATCAGTTCCATACATAAATATTTGTAAATGATCAAGCTTACCTGGTTTATGTATTTTAAGTCAAAGGAATTTTTAAAGCAGTTTAAAATGTTGTATTTTCCCTAAAGTACAAATGAATTAATTAATGACCTTTGTTGGTGCCCCCTTAAGCAGTAAATAAAAACAAAACATGGGTTCTCTTTACTTAGCCACCATTTACTTTTCTAGTGTTCCACCCAGCAGAGACAAGAGTTATTTAATTAATTTTAAAAGTTTAGTCTAGGCTAGTGGGTACTTTCTAAGATTAGTTTTGCTTTCTCCCCCACCCCCACCCCGCTGTATTTAGAGCAGGGCTAAACAAAAGGACACGGTGGTACCTCAAAAAGAATGAGATACTTATTCTCAAAAGGTCCCAATCCAGCCCATGACAGCCTCTGGAGCTACCTATTGAAGCCCTTCCTTCCTAAAATGGATCAACAGAAATGTAACATAGTTGGTTTCCTGGGAGTGGCACAGAGGTCATGCTTCAGGTCATGATTTGCAGAAGCTTGGCTTTGCAATGATCTCAAGCTTTGCAGGGGCATGGCAACAATTTGTGTGCCAGTGGCATGTGGATGGGTGAGGGTGCATACTGCTATATGCTTCCTAGAGGAGCTAGTATTTGTGCTCTGTCTTCTGTGACCACCCTTTTAAACCTCTGCTTTAACTCACTCCTTCTTCCATGTTTCAGTGTTTAGGACTACAGAGCCTGGGTGTTTGCTGTTAAGCATTCCTGACCCTGGGGAAAAACCAGGATAGTACACTGACATTTTGCAGATCTCAGTCATGGGCTACTTGTTTGGAAACAAGCAAAAGAATGAAATTGAAAACAGACATAACCAAAATGGTGTGAGGCTAGAATCTTGGCTTCATCCTTAACATTTCCCATTAGCAGGTTGGAAACAAACTTTTGCTTTGCTAGCTACTGTTGCTGTGTCGAACAGCAGCTTCCTGTTGTTAAAACGAAGGAAGCTTTTCCTCATCTATTCTGAGAGGTTAGTTTCATGCTTGGATAATCACATACTTATGCAGAAATGTATTTCAGTGCCTCATCTTCAGTTGAGAAATGCATCTTGTGGTGCATTTCAAACAGTGACTGAATGACATGCCTCTGTAAGCAACCTGCCAATCAAATATATCCAGAATGCACCTCATTGGAATTGATGGCCTTAGTTGGTGCAAGATAACACCTTCAAAATATTGGGGGAACACTACTTTCTAGCCTCTTCCTTTTGGTGTGATCATTTCTGATTATAGGATTTTTGGTGAAATTCCTTTCAATATGCAAATTCTGCTGTCACAAGTCAGCTGAGGTAATAGGGTCCAGCACAAGTTACCCTGTGATCTCAGTAAGTGTTTAGTTCAACATTTTCTCACCTGCCTATGAGAACAGAGGTGTAAACACACACCACCATCTGTGACCCCACATTACAGTATGAACATGGAGTGCAACTGCACAGCCCATGTCCAAAAAATACATGTTCTGGCTTCAGTCTGCATCAAACCAAACTTGTTTTTCACCTTGATGTGTCTTTGAGTGCCAGAGAGCAACTTAAATATCCAGGTTTTAAAGAAGTCATTTTTGTATACAGAGCACAAGATGCCAGCAATGTGATCAGCATGAAGAGTTCAGCAGCTGTTTTAAGTGGAATCTTTCCAAAACTGGCTTCCTATTGAACTCCTTTCCCTTGTGTCTTGAATAGAACTTTTTTTTTTCAGTTACAATACACACATAATGTAAGAGTGGTTTTATTGTGTGGGTGCCCACATTTTACATCTTCATTATAAAAAAGAACTACATGCACCATATGAAATACCATCAAGTAATTGGTAGAAAATACATTGACAACACTGATTTTTAAAAGTTCACTGATTTTTTAAAAAAATGTATGCAGTTAATGTTGTTAACATTTTGGTAGAGGTATTTGTTGTACAAAGGCTTTAAGAATTTAAAAATGTACCTTACATGTTCTGGCTAAAAAAATATTTATCCTGAGCTGGAAAATAGAGGGAGATCAATGAGACCAGGATTATCGCTAAAATAGAATTTCTTTTGCATTACCAGAGAGGCAGACAAAAACTTTTAAAATGGACAGTCTCCCTTGTTTAGCGCTCAGCCCCAGGGCAGGAATGTGGAAAAACTCCAAGCAGGTCAAAGGCTTCACTGAAGTCAAAGGATTCCACTTGTTGGCCCTTAATCAGCATGAGGTTTCTCAGACAGCCTCGGAATGAGATTTTACTGGTCAAGCAATTTTGCTTCACATCAGCTAGAAAACAAAGTAAAGAATGCAATGAGTCTGTTTGCTGTTTGGAGGAGATCCAAATTGCACTTTAGAAGCAGCCTGATTCACTACGAGGACTCTTCAAAGGTAAACAACACTAAAAGTATGAAACAGTATCTCCCATATCCTTTATCATCAATAGGATCTGGCATCAATAGGCTCCTTTACTATAACAACAACCCTGTTAAAGGAACTGCACAAATGCAGCAGGTTAGGGTTAGTGCACTACTAAAATGGTTTGGCTGGAAAGCTTGCAATGTTCATGACATTTTAGCAGCCAGGTAAAAATATTAGCCAACCCTGATTTTGAATTTTGGTCATCTGCCCGTTTTTCAAAATCAAGGAAAATGTAGTCAAAAGCAAGGAAGAGAAATTGGCCTTCAGTCACAGAACTTATGAACAAACAGTTCTTTGGGGCTGTAAAGGCACCTGAAGCCAGATACTCTTAATCCCCTAAACTAACTTCAATCTTAATTCTGCAAAATTCTTAGGTCACTAATCAGTGCCATTTTTTAAATAGTCCTCCCCATTTCAAAGAAACTGCTTCATAGTAGTAGCAAGGTATCTTCACCACAAGACAAGCTAAGGTTAAGAGGGCATCTCAGTTAGTTATCCCCTCATTCCCTGCCCAGTTATATTCTGAATGTGAGAGAAGTGAACATACCAGGATAACCTCCCAAGTAAATAGGATTGTTTGTATCTGCAGAGGTAGAATGTGTATGTGGATTATCAGTCTGAACCAAGTTCCCATCAATTTTCAGAGCAATGTGATGCTTGCTTTTGTTTGCTTGAAGTTTGTGCCACTTTCCATCACAGAGACTAGCTGTGCCTTTCGGTTCATAAGTAGCTGTTATTCTACCAGCTCCATTGTTGACACTGAATAAAACCTACAAAAACCAGACATATGGCAAAAAAGGAAAAAATGATAGAAAACCGATAAAACAGACAGTTATTTGACTTTAACGAAATATTTAAGCATAGTATGTAAATGCTTTCATTTTAGCCACACGGACAGTGACTAAATGCAACCTCACTCAAAATAAATGCAATTCTCTGTTAAAATCCATTCTTTTCACTTGGACAAGTTGCTATGTTGCCTATTTCAATATTTAAAGATGTGTTGTATATTAGAGTGAGTTCTCTGCTACTTTAGGTATAACGTTAAACTTCCTAAACACTCAGATAAAAATTGGAAACCTGAACACTAGTCTGTACTGTTTCAGCAGGAGAAGGATCACAATGGGAACCAATATAATATAAGCTGAGTAAAAAGCTCTGAATCTTCAGGCATCTTCTGCTTTGTGGAGGGGGGCAAGTTCATGAAAAATAGAGAAAGAGGAGGAATATCAGATGGACTCCATTTAATACTCCTGGGAGTATGCCAGGAGTTTTCTTTTTTGATGGGGGAGAGAAATGGCACTATTCCTTACCAGCAGAGACCAAGCTATTTGTCAAACCATCTCCTATTTCAGAAATGCTACGGCCTTGCCTTTTCTCTTAATTTTGTTCTCTTCTACAACTAAACGATGAACTCGGGCAAAAGGTCTTTAGAAGTGCTGCAGAATGTAGGATGATCAGGTCACATCCTGGGAATTATGCCAACATCTTTCAAGATCAAGGTGTCGTTTTGAGGCACCATGGAGTTCCCATGTATAATATTGTTAGTCAAGATAGAAATCAACTGATGGAATGGGAAGATGTACCATAGCACACATAGTTTTTTTCCCCCTTAACACTAAACTGGCACTACTGCTATAGTCATCATTAACAACCTTCATGCCTGAGTCTGATTGTTTCTCGCAGAGTAGCTGTTAGAGTCAGCCCACCCTCTGTCCTTTTCACTTTGTCACGAATGGCACTGCTTGGTGTGAAGGACAGAATAATGGGGGTCGGAGTTGGGACAGTTTCTAGGAGTATGTGTGGATTATCAATCTGAACCAAGACAAAAAACTTGCCCCCTAAAGGCAGGGAACAATCTGGCCTTTGGGAAACCCTCTTCCTGGAAGAAAATCATCAATTTTCAACCTACTGTCCTCCAGTAGGGATTCATCTTCTCCCTCTCCTTCTGGAAACTGGACATGATAATGGCTATACTTATTTAGGATGAGGTAATTCTGAACAATGATGTTGTGCTTCATCCAAATCAGCCGTCAAATATCTCCAGCCAATTCTTTTTCCTGTACTTCCTGCATCCTCATATGCATTCCTACACACATACTGGCCAAAATTCTGCTAACTTCGTATAGTAAATCATACTAGAGGAGACCCACTAAAACAGCAGGGGTTTAGTGAGTCAACTCCTCCATAAGTTCCATTGATTAAAATAGGCTACTTTAACTGCGATTTATTATGCTAAAGTCGATGAAAGTTAGAATAGGCCCAATTGAGTTTATGGAGGAATTGATTCACCAAAGCTCCTAATCCAGAACAATTTTCTACACTAAGCAACTGGATTTTGGCCACTGTCTGCTTCTGACAAAGAACAAAATATTTAATGGAGTAATCCCGTGCATTTCTAACAAGAAACAAGCCTTACTGAGTTCAACAGGTCTTGGATCAAATCAAGTGCATACAAAATTACTGACCAAATATATTTGCCTAGTCTGCAGTTCTATATTTACTATTAAAAACAAGTGGCAAGTAGCAGTTATTTGTTTGTGGTGCTTTTGCTTTCTTTTGTTTCATTTTTGGCTTTTTTGCAACTCCATTTATCAACATAGCAGTATAATTTAGGTAGAAAGGAACAAGTGGCCTGCCAGCTCTTGGCTCCTCCCAACCCAATATGTAGAGGACCAATGCTACTGATCTCTTCATGGTCTTGGGCACAGGATAAAACTATCCACCACCATCCTCAAGGCACAGGATAAAACTATCCTCAAGGCACAGGATAAAACTATTCACCACTGATGATTAGGGTGTAGGAAATGGCGATCTAAATAGCCCTTACTAATTAGCTTGGTTGAAATAACATTTAGGACTATCTGGGCAGTTCTTTATATGTTTCTTTTTTCCTTCCTGGGCAATGTATTATCTAACAGAGCAACTGAAAGGTTTTAAACAAGAACAATTTAGGTTTCAGGTATTATAAATGCATGTATATAATGGCAAAGTAATCCTTAATTGGATTGTTAACCCTTCCATTTTGTTTCATAACCTTTATTTTAGAGACTTTCTTTGTCTAATTAAGTCTCCAAAGGAAAGGTTTATAGCATTATAACAGGTTTCTTTTCCCAACTGTAATGGAATAGACATTTGTAAAATTGGGTTCATAACTAGAACAGGGCTGGAAATTGGGTTAGACAAATTAGAGACATAATTCACAGATATAGTAAAAAGATGTTAATTAACTAATGGATAAACCTCACATTCATAATCAAGTTTGCACTCACCAGTTTATCCTGTCACACATTAATAACTGGCACAGATTTTCTCTCAAGCATTGTGTATTACATATGCATTATTTTTGATTCATATTAATACCAGCTGTATTTATCAAGACTAATGCACAGATACTTCATCAAGTATCACATTAATTCACCACCCACCTTGCCATTTACAATCTCCAGCCCAACAGCATCTACTTTAGCACTACTGATTCCAAGAAGAACTCCATTCATGACTGTAGTGCGGAACTCAAATGTAATGTTAACATCAGATCGAACTTTATAACCTTCTTTAACTACAGAAAAAAAAGACAAACCAGTTATCAATGGGTCAAAAGATCTTGTGATATGGGTTTATAATACCAGTTCTCAACCTCAGGGCCCCAGGTACTGTTGGTGTTCAACCATGGCCAGTGGTCACAAATTTAACAGCAGGAGGGTAAAGGTTGAGAATAGACATGAATTATTTGTATTCATATCCCTGTGGATACAAATATGAATAGTGGCATGACAGGTGCCATGGAGGCCCATTCCCTCCCCCAGAACCAGCTGGTTCATTTGCCATTCACTGAGCAGTGCTGGGGTCTTTTGTTGTTGCCGTAGTGCCAGTCTGGGAAGGAGCCTGGTCAGCTCTTCCCAGCCTCCCTTGGCAGCCAACCACTCACCAGCTGCCAAGGGAGGCTGGGAAGTGCACCATGTCAGTTCCAAAGCTCAGGTATGCTTTTGAACTACAGCTCCCAGAATTCCTCTAGTTGACAGTGTGAGTACTGTATCTCTTGTCAATCCTAATAATTCAGTTGATGCAGCTAGCAGAAGTGGCACATGCTGGGAAGGCAGCATCAATTTTGATGGTCATGCCTTTTGACCCACCCTATCTACCCAGCCCCACAAGTGGAGAATGGCTTCTAGGTTCAGTGAGGTTCTCAGAAGCTTTGTTCCAGTGGTGGCTCAGTCCAAAAGCAAGATGGTCAGAAGAAAAATACCTGCTTATTTTATCATAAACCTCTGATTTCTGGGAAGCAACCCTAAGGAGAAGCATTTCCAGATTCTAACATGGGAAAACCAAACAAAACCTGAGAAACAACCAGATGATGGTGTCATAAGGAAAGGCATGGCCTGCTGGGATTCCCAGAAGGCTAGGTTGGTACCCAGATGTGGCTTGCCATCTGAAATTCCCAACTTCCATGCTAACATGACACATTTTACATAAAGAACTGTAAAAATGATTACTAGGTGGCTCACCAAATTGTGGCACACATCCACAGTGCTGTAACAACATATAAAACAGGCTTGGTTTTCCATATAGATTTATGTGTTTCTCAGCTGACATAAAACTGATAAAATAAATGGCATTATATTTCTCAATTGGGAATAATTACAGGAGAGATTCTTTACAGACTACCAATGAGTGATCAGCAAAACAGAAGAGGAAAGGCAGGAAGAGAAAGAACAATACAGTACAGTTAAATGAGATACTGCTTTGTTAGATTTTAATTTACATTTGTGTTGTTTTCAAAGGTTTGTAAAGCAACTCCTTCCTCACCAAGAGCAAGAAATCCATTTCCATCAAAAAAGGTTCCTTCCTGGGCTGCAACATAGCATTTGTTGACAGCAAAGACTGAAACTAAGCTGTCTTTGCCTAATTGCTTGCCATTCATGATTTCTTCACCCATACAGGCAGGGATACTGTGAGTAATCTGCAAACAAAATTTAATATCACCATTGGTATCAAAACTTGGAATGTTTTTTCTTTTGGGCTATACTTCCCAGAATCTGCTCCTGGCCTTGCTAGTTTGGGGAGCAGGTAAGGATTCAAAAAAGTACTTTTTCTAAGCTCTGATTTGCATAGGACATTTATGGCCCTGTATGGTAGCCTACTTGCCTGCACATACACACAGATCTACAAGAAATCCTTTTTACTTTGGAACTCTTAACTCATTAAGGAACCAACATATATATTGACATTAGAAAAAGAACCAACATTCTGTACACATAAATGTGTCCACATGGCAAATGAACCAATACACCATTGTAGATTAAGATGTCACTCCAGGGCTAAGGGAAACCAGAATTAACTTTTAGCCATGTATCTCCCTGAGTAACACTCTCTAATAACCAAATTACACAGTATCTTTAATATATAACAAGCAAAAACACAAGCATTTTCCCTATGAGAGTTAATCTGTATGCAGGAGTTAGATTTCAAGTCGTGGGGGAAAGAATGGAGTATTTCTTTCCTGGAATTACTGCTGGGATCAAAATCACTTCTGAGAGTTTACAGTTTAAAATAACATTAGGAGATCCAACTATTTCAATCTTTAAATTCATGGCTCTATATTGAAAATTTTAAGACTAATGATACTCTCTATTGTCAGTGTTATTACAGGTGCATTTACACTTTACTGACAACATAAGGAGGCTGCTTATTAAATCCATTTAGTGACTATTGCAACATGACGACCCATTGGTATCCTGTAGTTCCCCTTATGAGCTCAGTGTTTCAGTTCACTGCATATCTTTATGTATCTGAACTCACATCAGACAATTGGTCCAGCACTCTGAAAGGAAATAAATAGCATTAAAAAGAAAAACGTTCTTACATTTCCAATATTCTTGGCTGGGTAAGCTAAGGGTAGACCCCCTAAGTACAGCTTCCCATCAACATCTAAGGTGTTTCCATCTCCTGGGACGTTAACAGCCACAGATATTTGCCCATCAACTACTATTACACCTTTTCTTTTTGCATATTCTGTTTTCACCTGTAAGATAAGACACATTAGCCATTAGGTAAGATTTGGAAACCATACAGTGAAGAACAGGATTCAAAAAATGGTGTCAGATATATATGACTAACAGAAATTGTCCTCTTTGGTTCAGGCTTAATTGAAACTAACTAACTCATGCCAGTCTTAATCCAACACATTTCTGTGACACTGGATTTCTAAATATACATGTGGCGAGATGTGAAAGGTATGAAACTGAAATTTCCTTTTAATGGAAATATTTAAAATATTACAATAGGAGAAAACAGAGTTCTTTGCAGAAGCAAAAGGTACATGAAAATGGAAAAAGAAACCTATTCTTTGCTGGGACTGAAGATTACCGGTAAGTTAAGAGTCACTGTAGTGGACTAAAACTTGGAAAACCTAAGTTCAAATTCCCATTCAACTACGGGAACTCCCAGGGCAGTAAGGAATGGTGAAGTCACTCCTGAAATATCTCACGTTGAAAACCTTATTAGGGTCACTATACGTTGGATGTGACTTGGCGGCATAGAACAATGAGATGAGATTGAAGGCAGTCACTTGGTACACCTACCGTATGCCATTTTCCATCATTGACAATTGCATCATGAAAGACTACTGCTCGTCCTTTTCCAAGGTCAAATGAAAAAGAAAGCTTCCCCCCTTGTAGCTGAAGGGCTGCAAAATCGACTTGCTTTGAGTGACCCATGTAGTATATCAGGCCACTAGAAGCAAAGGTCCTGAGGTTCAGCTGCACAAAAAGCCTAGGAAAGAAGATGTGAAATAATTCAGAGTCTGCAGACCACTGGGAACCTCATGGAAATTCGTCTATCCTTTCTAAAAAGAAGAGATTAATATAAGTCTAGTAAATAGGCCTGTTCGATTAATTCCTTATAATGTCCCAATGAGGACACTATGGAACAGTGTGGGATTTGGGGAAAAACACAGCCCCGTCCCATTCCTTCACCAGGAATTCTCCACTAGATCCTGGTTCCTTCACAAATTAAATAAACTCTTCCGTTGCAAGAAGGACATATTTGGATACAAGCCATAATAAACAAAATGGATAAATGGAAGAGAGTTGATACACAAAGGACTGTAAGAAGAATGAAAGCAACTTTGAGCATAACAAATACACGAAGACATGAATTTGGAAGAAGGAGCTTAGGGTAAAAAGAATGATCAGGGGAGGGAACTGGGTCAAGGCACTTTCTGCCAGCAGAAGCTAAACGCCAGATCCAACCCAATGTTTCTGCAACTTCTTTGGATTTTGGAGTTTCAGTGCCAGCCTCACAAAGAGACTGACATCTGCCTTAACATCTGCTCTGCACTAGGCTTATACAAATCTGATACTTTCACTTTTGAAAGCAAAGCCTCCCATCAAGATGGGCAAATCCATTACTGTGATTTTTTTAAAGAGTCTCGGTGTTTTCCAATACAGTTTATGAAGACCCCAGCCACTCTCAGAAAAATCCTTAAAAAAAAAGAACCAAAGAAAATCTTCACTATGCATATCCTGCAGAGAATCACACTGGCAGAAGTGAGCAACCATAGCAAATGTAACCAAGGTAAGCTGACTGAGATGGGACTATCAAGAAGACGTATTCCTCAACCATAAGTCCTGGTCTATATTCAGCCCCCTTTCTCAATCAATCAGCTTCTCTGGACATGTACCTTTTAGCCTTGCTCAAAATTATCCAAAAGAGCAGAAATGAGAAACATCAATGCACATGTTCAGAAACACTATAAAACTGATGAAAATCATGTTGTTTTTTCAACTTAACCCTTTCACTTCATCACAGCAGACATATATGTGCTTAACTCTTCAACCAGTAAGTGGCATTTAACAGAATTACACTTTGGTTACATATGACCCTCCCAGTTTCATTATCTCTCTGCATCAGTTTCCCATCCATGAAATTGTAATCACAATCTATTCCATATACTGTGACAACAAACAACACTGTACAGTACTTTGCATGTCTAAAAGTGTCTGGAAAAATTATTAGTAATAACACTAAAACAAACCTACTTTTTTCTTACTGTAGACTGGTTGAAAAGGAACACCAAATGGCTGTGTCTGGAAAGGCCAAACTGATGAGCACCGGAAACATAATTTAGTATTTCACTCTCTCCACATGGTTTCTATTAAATGAAACAGCTCGGTTAAGTAACTTAATCTTTTACTATGTATATAAAAATCTTCTGTTTAATAGTAAACTTTATGCTGATGACTCCATGTTATACATCACAAGTATAATATTCAAACCATCAGAATTGAGGCAAACATAACACGTTCATTTTTACAGGCAGAGGCTGTGCCTTCAGATGCACTCTGTGTCTGGCTAAATTTCTAGTCAGGAAGAAAATGAAGTCTTCATAAATGTACTAAAATTAACTCAAGAGATGTTTCTGTTACTCTGTAAGCACACTTCTGCATAGTGCAGGACAAAGTCCAGGAAGAGTTGATCCAGCAAAGAACTGACTATGGACTTTAACCCTTTTCCTAAATCCAATATATTCCCCTTTTCTGCCTACATCAAGACTACACGACACTTCTGAAATACTTGCTTACTCACATCCTAGTATGCAACAGAACCTTACACCAGATTAAATTTGAATGCATTCAAAGCCAGAAGTTACAATGGTATATTGACTACATCAAACATGGTTATAGTTACATATATGAAGTCATTCAATTTAAACCAGATTGGCACGATGCTTAGTTGAGCTAAGAAGTGTCATATAACATGTTAACTCTAAATAAGGATTCTTCCTTTAACAAGCGGGGTGTCATTAGTCTTCCAAATTTGAGTATGGATAAACAGGGCAATCAGGAAGATGTTCAACGAAACTTCGGCTCCCAAAAGCCACAACTTACATCCTGGAGCTGCACCCAGCAGTCCCCCAGATGTTTTTGACTACAACTAACCAGGTTGGCTATTGGTTAGGGGTTATGAGAGTTGAGATCCACAACATTCAGAGGACACCAGATTGCCTACATTTGGTCCAGAGGATCTTACCAGAATTTAAAGCAAATGGTGGCTGGATAACAAGCACACTGCAAGAGCTCTTGTATGTCTCTTCTTGCATCTTCAATCTACTTAGTATGATTGTACAGGGCAAAATCACCACTAGATCATTTTACTTCAGAAACACTGTTAAGCTTCTTGCTGAATAAAAGGGAATACTTTGCCTGAATATTCAATAAAACTGTGTTTACTTCACTGCTTCTCCACCCATCCACGGACTCCTTCGGCCATATGGAAAAACATGCTCTAAATTTTCATTACATACTTTCTTGATTTCTGTAAATGGCTGTAGAGAAACTGGAACCATTTGCATTTCAGATAAGACTTCAATGTCATCTGGATGGATGGCAGGTTTAGGCTTCTCCCAAAGAAAACAGCTATCCATATCAACAGCTTCATGTCTCACTGCGGTGGTGAAATCCAGAAGTCTAGGGTTTTAAAAGGAAGATCCTTTTTTACTTTGTCACAATGAGAATAAAATGAACAGGACTACTGTTAACAACCATGGTCTACCTAGTAGGAAAACTTGAGGTTTTGCTTGGGTTCAACTTTTACCCACAACATCTAAATTCCAATGAATTTTTACATTTGTTTACTTTAATCAGAAATCCAGTTCTTCATTCTGCGTGTAACATCTACAACTGCATAGACAGATAGACAGTGTGAGAACAGGTGATGTAGTGGGTAGAGGGATGGACTAGGCTTTAGGAGACTTGAGTTACAATCCCCATTTTGTCACAAAAATGGCTGAGATTGTGGCAACAATGAACCACTCATTGAACATCTCACTTACCCTAAATCCCTGTCAAGGTTTTCATAACTCAGAAGACCTGATGGCACTTAACACACACAAACAGAGAATATACATTATTTATATATTAGTAGTTACAAGCACATTTGTGTTAATGGAACTGATGGTAACTTACTCCATATTAAATATTAGGTTGGTTATGCATCCATGGAAAGAGCCAGTCATTTTTAATCCTAAAATTCCCTCTCCTGCAGGAATCCCACCAATGAAAAAATTAGATATATTCATTGATCTAGTTTCTGCAAGTGGACCAAGTCTAATTTCTGCAGGGCTGCTTTCATCTACTTGAACAGTTATCATCCTGGGGGGGAAAGCAAAGTGAAATTGTTTATGTTTTAAGGAAAGTAAATGACTAAAAAACAAAGATGATGACTTCATAACACAACTTATATAATGCAAAGGTAAATTTAGTTTTCCAATGCCTGTTGGGCCCCTATTCTCCATTAGCAAACCAGATTTGTTTAGTATCTTTGAAACTAATTTCTAGCACTAATCCTGTTATAAGTGTTGCACCATACATTGTATTTATATATTTCTCACCCTAATAAATAAAGTGAATTGTGTGTCTTTGTTTTTTAAAAGTATTTGGTATGATTCCCTCTGGTGGCCAACGTGACTACAGATTTCAACAAAGCATGCATGCGTAACTTAATCAGTGGCTGTGTGCTGTAAGCAATTACCATGTAAATCAGAATTTCATTAATGACACAGAAAACAGAACTGTGATTATTCCACTGAAAGACACTAAGTAAAGTCATTTCTTTAGGGAACATGATAAACTGACAAGGGGCAGTAATTAAACAAATGTTTCAGCTTGTACCTTTTATAGCGGGTTAAAATGACAGAATGTTCTTGCCCATCACTGTATGTTCCATTAGAAGATTCAATTGTGACCTCCCTGGTACTTGCTCTCTCACCAGGATTCACGTGCACTGCTAAATGACCATTGGTCAATGTGATTGAGAAAAAGGGCTGAGATAGAAAAGAAAATCAAGTTTAAAATATGGAAATCCTGTGAGGAATATCTGTTTTGAGGGTTTTTTTGTTTCCCACATTTCCAGGAAAAAAAAAACCCAGAAATGTTGGAGTCTACTGAAAGATATTGCAAGAAAAATTTGACTCGGCTAAAGACTAACTTTTGAAGTGCTTACCAGATGGGCTTGCCTGCGTCTTCGTTTCTCTGCACCTTTGCTAAGCCCCACAAGGATAATACCGCTGTTGTTCTTAGTAGCGAAAGTGGCCATGAGTTCTGATTCCGGTGAAAGGGGCTTGGGTGGCAACTCAATGTAGCCACTGCTGAAGATACTAGCACTGTGTATGGGCTGCTTTGCAAAAAGAGGAAGGAAGGAAGGAAGGAAGGAAGGAAGGAAGGAAGGAAGGAAGGAGATCACTGAATTAGAGCATTACATATTCAAAACAAAGCAGGAAGTTAGTTACTTGACACCTTTTCAACAAGTCAGCGATTTATAATGTCATCGTGCACTGCTGATTCGTTTGTCAGAAATAAGCAAGCACCAATTTACATCTACCCTACTAAAACTGTCAACATGTCTTACCTCCAGGATACAGCCTTTTCTCACACCATATGAATTTCTAAGCAAGTCAAAGGTGGATCGAGATATTTCCAAGTTCTTAATACATCCTACGTATGTTCTGCTATTAAGCCCTTTTCTAAAAGAGAAAAACAGTAGGCTGAGATAACTAGAGGGAAAGCTAGGATACCATTTAAGTGAAAAAAATGACTGGTTATACAATTGAATTATCTTCTACAGTATTAACTATTTTACAATGCCCACATATTGAATCTGGTTCAGAAAATATGACAAGAATACTGCGACAGCTAGTAGACACAAACATTTAGTACTTGCAGTCACAGTGCAGTTTTGAACACTTCCCACTAATTAAACAGCACAACAAAGAACCTTTTCTTCCTTTCTGCCTCCATAGGCATTCCTTTACCACTCAGGTTTTAAGATGGGTCATTAAAACTATCTTTTCACTTACTATATCCTGGCATTTTGATCCCATATTAAAACACGGTGGACTTAATCCAGCTGTTCACCCCTGCACGAGCAAACCCACTGAATCACTGGGACTTAAATAACTGATCTAACAAGCCCTATTCATTCTGCAGGTCTACTGCAAAAGGAACTATCCATCGAAGTCAGCTCTGTGCCAGAAGGTTCACATTCCTGTGAAGGTCAAACGGAAAAGCTGTTTAAAACGCAAACCCACCTCACTGCCCTTGAGCGTGGCAACCCACCAATATAAATCGGATCCTTATCAGAACGATTCAGGTCAGAGGCTACACCAGGAGATTCTCCTTGCTTGGTTTCTTTTGAACTGAAATTATAAGCATCCATGACTGCCAAAATACCTAAAAGGAACATCAGGAATATCAGAAATCACCAAGGACCATCTGAGAATTTTCCATGCACATTTGTTTTCACCCAAGCAACAGAGAAAAATGTAGTAGCAATAAATTATCAGTTTGCCATTCAATGAAAACAGACTGCCTTACTACCAAGCATTTAGGTATTTTATTAAGCTAATCTAATTTAGCCTCCTATTTCGCCTCCTCTCCATGAAGGAGAAATATGAAACAGATGGTCCATATGCTATTTTGAAAATTGCTGCTACAAGAAGTGATAATTTCACTTTTCCACTTTTCTTTTTTAAATGTAAAGGTAATCTCTAGACCTGTTCATTTAACAAACACAACTCATAAAACCAAGAAGTTTGCACATCTGCTCCATACGTTAAATTAAGTTTAGAACATTTGATTGCTGTACTCAAAAATCATTTAAAAGAAGAAAAGCACAATGTACAAAGTGAAGGTAAGGAAGAAATAACTTCACAGAAGTTCCTGAGTTTATTAAAGTTCAGTGTATTTTGGAACTGGTTTTCCTTCTACTGGGACAACTGGTGGAGGGTGAAACCAAACATTACATTAAAGACATGCGGCATTGTCCTACTGAGAATAAGTGAAGCATAGTGCTTAGCCCACAGAGATTTGTGCTTCCTCCAACATGCTTTAGCCCAAGCAGAAAGGAATAGGGCCTCCACAACAGGGAAGTAAATATATCCATCCATAAGCTCTGGAAGAATCCCGCTGCCGCTGAATGTATCACTGCACAATCTAAAGGAATAAAGGCTTCTGTCCATTGCTTGTAGCAGTGCTTCTCGTTTTGCATCTTTTTAAAACCTGACATAATTATGTGGAGTCTTGCTATGACCTGGAAGCACTACATCTTAGGCAGGGAAGTTAAATCTCCTCTCAGTTGCTTCCCTAATGAATCTCCCTCCAACTGTTGTCCATGTAGCTGTTAAAGGGGAAAAAATCTATTTTTATCAGTGGAGTCCCTGCCTTTAACTGGGATATAAATTCCACAAGGACTAGCTTGCACACAAGGTGGTCTCGAAGCAAACTGGATACTCATAAATGTACTTTAGAAAAATGAAACACAAAGCTGCATACTATGCTTTTAATGTAACATATACAGTAGTTTGATCCTATGAGAAAGCAAACTTCTGTAACATCAATAATGTGACATCAAGTCAACTCTGAATTATGGTAACGCCGTCCAGCCTTCCATTGGTATAGACAACTCAGAAGTAGTTTACCATTCCCTTCTTCTAGAGGCACTCTGGGATTTGAGTGCTTGCCCAAGGCTACAAAGGTTGGCTCTTCTCCCACAAGACTTGGGATAATGGAACTCCCAACAATCTGACTCTCCATCCAGACAACTAGAACACTGAGCTATCTCCAGTTTATTTTTGAGTGTCTGCTGCACTTCCTGACCTTTGTTTCTCTTCAGATTTAACTATGGATGGCAGCACATATCCACTTCTACATTCTCAAGTAAATCTGACCTTTATAAAAACATGAATGTGAACTCATCTTACAAGTGACCATGTAAGAGACAATCCATAGGCAAAGAGGCCTGCTCTCTGAAACCTCTGTTAAGCTGTGTGCCACACTGTGGTTCCTGCATGGTCCCAGAGCACCACCAAAAAAAGGGACTGGTAAATCACTTCTGAATATCTGGTAAATAGAAAATTTCATGAAGGTTGCCAAAAGTCAGAAACAACTTGGTCATGATAATTACTATGCCTGTATTTGGACATTTTTAAAAATAAAAAGCCTATTTTCCAAGCCTTTGCACATAATAAAACATTTTACCTTCTTTTTTGTTTCGACTGAATGAAATCTTATACCATGTTCCATTATTGTAACGGCTTTCTGTTTGAAGTGTAAGAGGGCCAGAACCAAGATCAACTGTTAATTTAACTCTGCCATCAACAAGCTCCAGAGACAAAAAATCCCTCTGTAAAAGGAGAACCAAAAGTTAGAAAACAAAAATACAGAAGTCATGGATCATTCATTCAAAAGTGAAGGAAAAGTATCTCATAGACTTGGACGACTGGCCCAACATTTTGATAGTTTGTCTTTTCAGCAGAACAAGACTACAGCTGAGAATCTCCCAAGACGGAGTGGGTAGCATGGCATGACCTAGCACTTAAAGATGATTAGACCTTCTCAAAATGCTTCACCTAAAGTTGCCAGATGTACTACGATTACGACAATGAAGATGGGCTGGACAAAAGCAGTTTTCTAAAACGCTTTCAGTAAATGAAATGCAGCAGCAAGATTCAAGCTTGGAATTCTCCAGTTTGTACAAAACATACATTTTTAATCATTTTCCCCATCAGTGCAAGCTGAATATTAGAATATTAAAATACATAATTTAATACATGTATGTCAAGGGAAATAAACAAAGACTGTATTCTTATTCTTAAAAATCACAAGCAAGTAATATGGAACTGACAAGCCTAAAGCTCCTTTAAAGACTTACTGTGCCATTAGAAGCCAGATATACTAAGAGCCCGTTGGGTAAAAAGGTGCTGAAAAATACTATTATTTGGGTCACAGTGGAGCGAAGGGCTTTCTCAACCACTGAATATCCACTGCCGTCGAAATGAAATGAAGTATCTTCAACCTGCGGGCTAGGAAAAGAAATGAAACATATGTTTTCGAAGGTTGTGTTCTCTTGCACAAAACTGCATTCTTAATCAAAGGGGCAAATCCTAGCCACAGATTTCTGGTCTTATCATACTAATGAGATTTGAATGTGATAAAATTTATGAACGTTGGAAAGTTTTTATCAAAAAATAGAAAATGCTTTTTAATGCTTTCTAAAGACATTTCTAAAATAATCCTCTATCTCCCTCTGCTGGTTATAAACTATACTAAGTAAATAGGAATCTACTAAATAAAAACTTTTCCTCTTTCATATTTTTGGCATCTGCATGTTTAGATCATTCATTCGTTTGTTCGTTTGTTCGTTCGTTCATTCGTATAATGCCCAGCTTAATGAAACCCACTACTCTGGATGGTGATCAAAAAGGAAATTAAACTCACATCATCATAACCAATCTTATGCCCAACACTGATATGATATAACAATAACATAAAAAGCAGTAAACAGGAACAAAATCATATCGCACCATCAAATTATGCTACAAAATAAAAATGTTAAATTTCCATCTCAGAGCGAAGTAATTAGATGGATAGAGATGCTGATTAATCAATAAATAGACATGAATGAATCATTATTGTTATTCTCAATACTTACAGGGGAAATGAGAAACTTGAAAATAAAGAATTAGTAGCAAATCTTATAGAGACAGCAAGATCCGAGATTGCTAGAAATTGGAAAAATGCCATTTCAGATGAAGTACATTTTTGAAGGCCTCTTTAGAGTTCTGCCTTAACAAGTTTTCTGACAATAAGGAGAGATGGGGCTTGGCCGATAGATGGGGCCACCACAGAGAAAGCCTGATTCTGGTTGACATTCTTCTGACCTCCCTCAGTGTAGCCACTCCAAGAAGCAAGGCCTGGGAGGTCTTGAACATAATTGATATGTGCAATTAATAAAACATTAATACTTTAAAACGAAACTATGTCTGGTGCTATTTTAAGCTTCATTCGTACTGTGAAGAAAGGTGAATACATGAAATAATATAACCAATTCTTTTCAAATTGAAACTATTCTGTTAATTATTGGTCTGGTTCAGCCATCACAGCCAATCACTGAGAATGTCCTCCAGATTCACAGGTATCTCAAATCAAATCTGTTTCTCCCTCACTCACTTGAATTATATTTTACTTTGCCCTTCCACTAAAGTATGGGGTAATGCATATGTTTCATTTCCCATTAAAGTCACACCTGGTGAAGTGTATGGATAACTATGGGTCTGAACCTTGATTTCTGCAGTCAAACACTCTAGAGACATGACAATGTCATGACCATGAGATTATGGTCCTTTGGAGACTGTGAACACAATACTGGAGAATTAGTTTGGTGTAGCAGATAAAACTCAGGAGATGTGAGTCCAAATCCCTACTCAGCTATAGAAATTCATGGGATAGTGGAAAGAAATTGTTAAAACCACTCTCTGAGTATTTCACATACCTTGAAAACCTTTAAGGTCCATCTTAAGTCAGATGTAACCTGGTAACAGATAGTGTGTGTGTGCACGTGGGCATATATTCACACAGGGCATTATGTAAACTTTTATATTGTGATACAGAATCTGGATACTTCGACATCTAAAATTATACTCCTTCATAAAATTAGATAGTATGATCCATAAAGAAGGCAGAACAATCCAGAGCTACTAAATAATCTTCACTGCTGTAGTAAAACAATGTTTAGGAACACAAGCGTGACAACTCCTAGCTCCAATTACATATTTCAAATTTTTTTTGCTGTCCTCACCTGCCAAAGCATCCGCTGCATTTGCCTTCCCTTTCCATGTAGTTCCACAGGCCAACAGATCTGCCATTCAACCATGCCTCTCCCATGCATCCCTTAAAATGGGTTACCTTGATGGCAGGTGATTTCTATTACAGAAGATACACATAAAGAAAATAAATACTGTATCAGAACCCTTGTTATCCATTCAAGTAAATCACTAAAAGCAAGCTATAACTCTGTACTAAAAATAAGTTATAATAGTTAAATAATAAAAATATTATTGATGAATTAACATTATTTTCGTGTATTTCCGAGAAAAAAATTACCTCTGCAGTTAATTAAGGGAACAGTCTTATAGTCAAATTCTACCATATGAGGGACCACAAGATTTGGTGGAAGCTCTATTGTATTATATTTGGTGGAACTTCTCTTATGTTGGCACATAGTCATATATGCCACTACACCAATGGAACAGCCAGAGTATGTATGCCTGTATACTGCTGTTATGATTGTTTTGGTAGAAAGGCTAAAAGAGAACAGATTCATGGATATGGCAGAAGCAATACAGGAGAGGAGCACAATTTGGACAACAGATAAGATCTGGGCAACAACCATGGGACTGGGGCTAAGAATTTCCTACTCGTCACTAACACATTCTCAGAAATTAATTAGACAATAATGGCTCTCAAATTCCATTCAACATCCTGCTTTTCATCTCTGAAAGCATCCTTGTTCATTTATCACAGCACAGTGAGTGGAAGTTACTTGGAAATCAATGTAATTAATTTTCTTTATATGAAATATGGCTATTCATTTCTTTTCACCTTGATTTGCCCTCCAAGTCCACCAATAAACATCAGAGTTGATTGGTTTACATCCAGTACTGTAGCTGTCCCAGGAGAGGTGCCCTTTCTCATAAAAGGCTTCTGGGAAGCATTTGTCTCCTCTACAATTAGGGTGCCAGTTTTTCCAAACCTGTTAATAAGAAATAATAATAAATGAAACTGTTATGAATATTTATACATCCAACTGTGCTTTATACAGCTAAAGAGGCAAAAATATGTGACTAAAATGATTATATAGTGCATGTCCAGTTGATAGCAGCTGCTCTGACCATCCAATTATTTATATGAACTGTGCATATTTGTAATAAATGGTTCCATCCTTTAAGTAGTAATTACTCCAGATTTAACACTAACTACAAATCTGATTTTCCCCTAAAATATAGAACCCATATTAAGTGTCACACACTGATTGCACCTTACCTTGTAGCATGTATTTTGTGCCATTTGTTGTTATTGATAGAAAGATCAGGATATTCCAGTCGTGTGGAACCAGAACCCATATCCCACAAGAAAGCCACTTTACCACGCCTCATCTCCACAGCCATGAAATCAGCCTAAAAAGAAGGTTGCCATATCACTGAAAGAATGTCATCAAAACCAAGAAAAGTGTAAGCGGAGCAATTAAAAGGCTGCTTTTAACAGTACTGATCAAATACAGGGTTACATCTTAAACAAATAGCATGGCAGGAGCTTAAACATGGACCCATACATAGATAATTCAATGACAGACACTCTGATAGAAAGTAAGATGATCAACATGAACTCACAAGTACAGTACTAACTCAACAGGCTATTTAAAAAAACACTCAGAAGAACTTGTGGACCCCATTACAAATTCCATTTGCAAGTAAAGCATTTAAGAAAAATAAAGCCCACAGTGTGTTTGCAAGATGTGCAGACAATACAAAATTATCTAAATGTTTTATTATGGAAAAGGATAAATAAATTGAAAAGACATCTGGCTCAGCCAGAAAGTAAGGGTTATGAAAAAGCTAAGACATTATTTTTGGGAAAATGCCAACTATGAAAAATAACTCATATTAGTTGCAACAGAAATTGGGACTTTGGTTGACAGGAAGAGACTCCACCCAAATAGAGCAGTCTTCCCACTTTTCAGACTGTCATTGTCATGTTCTGAAAGCAACAATGGAAAGTGGGAGAGGGGAATGAAGCTAGCAAGCTCTCCTCAGTGTGTTGTGGGCTCCTTATACTTACATAATGACTGAATAGGGCTTTTGTTTTTCCATTCACTAACATGAATCACAATTCCCATTACATGGGTAGGGTAAAACAATCACTCACGGACCACGTAAAATAAGCTGTAAGGAACGTGTGTCCCTCTTGATATTGTTGACACCAACTTTCATCAGCCAGTTTGGGGGGAGAGTTGCAGCTCAACACCTGGAGAGCCAAATGTTCTCTATCTTGAGGCAACTGGGTGATTTAAAAGTTGTTAAGTACAGTGGTGCCTCACTTAGCGATGTTAATTGGTTCAAAAAAACATCGCTATGGGAAAACATCGCTAAACAAAACACCATTTCCCATAGGAATGCATTGAAAACCAGATAATCCATTCCAATGGGAACAGATTACTGTCCTTAAGCAAAAATCGCCATAGGAAACATCGCTAAGCGAAACGTACTTCCCCGATTGGAATGCATTGACAGCTGTCAAACCTACAGTTCAATGCATTTCAATGGGGGGAGAAAAAATTCACCAAAATTTAACAAGACTCAGAACAAAGCCAGATTAAGTTTGCAAAGGGTTTACAAGGTGCACTAATGATTCCAAGCATTTTAAACAGTTTTTGAATATTTTAAGACACTTTAAAAATAGCGAAAACGGATATCGCTAAGCGAAACAGGGGGGCCCAAACTGTCATCGCTATGCGAGGCATGGTCCCGAACATCGCTATGCGAAATTCCCCCATTGGAAACATCACTAAACGGAGCACAAGATCGCTCCTCAAACCTCATTGCTAAGCGAATACATCGTTAAACGAAGCAATTGCTAAGCAAGGCACCACTGTATTCCCTTTAAAATCAATTTCTGTCCAATTTCTGTGAAAATATATTAAAGCTAGTACACTAGTGGTATTTAACCGCTGCTAAATTATGCAAGTTTGGCTGCAAAGAGTTAGCAACATGTTGGAGAGAATGTGTCCAATGTGGTTTATTCATTCATCTATGTTTAGAGTGTCCTCTTGTAGTACAATACAGCGGTGCCTCGATTTACAACCATAATCTGTTCCAGAAGATGGACATAACTCGAAGCATCATTTCCCATAGAAATGCACTGAAATACAATTAATCTATTCTGGAAGGAAAAAATCACCCAAAAAATCACTGCAAGACTCATTGGAAATGCAATTAATCCCTTCTTACCAAAGGGGGGGGGGGAGAAAGGAAAGC